ATTTCACTTTTTAAAAGGTTCCATGTGATATGACGTGAAAAATTGGGATGACGCTCCCTGTGAGTGAACAGGGAAAGGAGAGCCAGGGTCATTGCAGCACCCCCTGAGCACAGGACACTAAGGACAGTAGTGTTAAATGATTGGCAGGCATCCCAGCGACCCAGGCAACCTTGGAATTCCTCAGGATTTACTCTCCTTCTGCAAAGGGCTCAGTGGCAAGTGGAGATCAGATGGCAACCTTGCACATGGCCATTCGTCGTAACAAAGAGCAGTGGTCTTCAGCAACTGGAATGCACTCAGTTGCTGAAGAGCTGGCCTCCCTCGCTCCCTCGCTCCCTCGCTCACTCATTCGCACTAGCCCTAGAGGGGAGCATCACCTCCCTCTAAGTGGCTTCTATGCCAGGGTCTCAGAACAGCGCTCGTGTTACAGGAATAACTTGACCTACCTCCACGTTTCCAGGACGCACTTGTCTCAGCGCAGAAGGCTGAAACTTTTAAAACTGTGATGTTAATATGTTGAATTCCTGAGCTGGTTCAGTACGCATGCCCAACAGCCGCTGCGGAATCTGACGGAGATATTTCTCCTTGGATCCGGGTCACTGCACACTGTCTGCTTGGCGAGCCAGCTGGCAGACTCTTCCTCTCCTGCACTCAGCACAGGGGATTTCGCTCCGGAGCGAAGATCAGAAGCTTCCCCACTGTCAGGCAAGCTGTATATGATGGGAAACGCTGATCTGTAGGTTGCCACTGTGATTACCTGGTGTGCTGTAAAGGAACTCTGTCCTAGAACGGCCTCACCAGTAAAAGCAGGAAGGAGCATGATAGTTCCCAGTTCTCAAATTCCCAAGAACGGTTTATCTTTTACCTCAGGTTTATTTATTTTTTATTTTTTTGCCATTGCCCTTCAAAACCAGTGGTTATCTAGTGTGTTTGACTCCTGTATTTGCCACAGCATTTGATTAAGAAAAATTTCAAACATTCAATTGAAAGAATTTTATAGTATAAATGCATATACACATGCCTACATTCCACCATTAATGTTTTGCTATACTTGTTTTACTATATGTCTCTCCATTTAGAGTGAATTTTTTTTTCAGATTTATTTATTTGAAACGCAGAGTTACAGAGAGAAAGAGGGAGAGACAGAGTGAAGAGAAAGATCTTCCATCTTCTGGTTCAATCCCGTAAACAGCTGCAATGGCTAGTGCTGGGCCAGGATGAAGCCAGGAGCCAGGAGCTTCCATGTGGGTGCCTGGGGCCCAAGTATTTGGACCGTCTTCCTCTGCTTTCCCAGGCACATTAGGAGGGGAGCTGGATCAGAAGTGGAACAGCTAGGGCTTGAACTGGTGTCCATTTGAGATGCCAGCATTGCAGGAAGCAGCTTTACCTGTTATGCCACAATGCCAGCCACCTCTCCCCGCCCCGGCCACAAGTCAATCAATTTTTTTTTTTTTTACTTTGTGCTCACTTCGTCAGCACATATACTAATTTTTTTTTAATTTAGCCCCATTATTTTACCAGTAGAACATGTTTATTTATGCTTAAAGTTCAGCATTAACTATATGATCATTGCTCTAATTTTAAAAGTCACATTCAAAGGATAAGGTAAAACCATCAATGAAGTGGCATATCTGTTTATTTCTGTTTGTGAAAATGTCTTTAATTTGTTGATGTAACAAACAAATTTCAATTCTGAAATTTCAATTCTGCTTTGCAATGAACTTCAAAGTTCAATTGCATATAGGCAACACACTATGTATGAAAAATTACTAACTGAACTGCAGGTATTAAATACTGAAAAAGTTAACAGTTTATTACAATTTATTTTATTTAACAATCTAGGAAGTTTGCAGCCATCAGCAGTTCCAGTGCGATTTCAGGTGTAGTTGGGAATTCGGGAATCTTGGTGGAGCTGTTAGTGTAGTGAAACTTGTAGGTAAAATACATGCACACTTTTGATAGCACATGTGAAGGGATCTCTCTAAGATTGACCTCATTGGTTTCATTTTCAGCAGACTGCCACTCAACCTGGCTTTCATTGTTCATGATGTTAGTGCCTGTTCTCTCTTTACAATAAATTCATGATCATCAGAAGATGTCAACTTGACATACATGGCGTCAGGGCCTTCACAGCTCCCATAGATTTTCTCCTCTCCATCCATTATGTTCTTGTGAAATCCCACTTTTCTTCCACAAGGACGTTAGTAGTTTCCCCCGTGGGTTCTGGGGCAGTCGAAAGAATTACTTCCATCAGGTCTCAGCCGCTTTCTGCAACATGAGAGAGATTAGTACCTGGTCGGTCTCAAGTGAATCTTTTTTTTTTAACAAACTCTTCCACTATACAATAAAATTATTTTCAATAAGAGTCATGAAATAAAATGAATGCCTATAATGGCTAGAAAAATGCTGTAAAATATTTTACTCCATTTTGTGTATATAATTATGCAAGTCAAAGTTAAATTGAGGCGAGCATGTGGCCCAGCAGTTAAGATGCCGCTTGGGTCACCGCATCTCATATCTGAGTGCCTGGCTTGAGTCCTGGCTTCTTTGCTTTCTACTCATCTTTCTGCTAATGCACACGCTGGCAGGCAGCGGACGATGACTCAAGTGCCTGAGTCTCTGCTACCCATATGGAAGACCCAGATTGGGGTCCCCGTCCCCGGCATTGGCCTGGCCACCCTCAGCTGTTGCATGCACTTAGGGAGTGAATCAGTGGATGGGAGATATCTCTCTCTGTTTTCTTGCCTTTCAGTAAAATGTACACACATAAATAAAAATTGTTTAATTAACAAAATACATTTTGCATAAAAAGAGTACTTATAACAATATTACATCTTGCAATTCATTTTCCAGGTAACTGTAATCAACTTTAAAAAAATTGACTCTGAGTGGTCACATGAAAGGACTGAAATGAAATAGCTGAAATTCTGATTTTTGTCTTTACAGTCACAGCATTATTACTGCTTGCTTCTCATCTGTTGTTTAAATGCAGGAATATGTAGACCCACAGGAGTTGTTGGAGACAGGGACTTTGTCGTAAGTACACTTAAATAACCCTGGGCCATTAGAAACCTTCCACTGAAATGAATAGTTGGCACAGAGTCTTATATTTGAGACAAATTGTATGCCTGGGAGCTGTCCATAGTAACTTCCAGAAAGAATTCATTTTTACTAAAAAATGAGTAATGTTTACTAAAAATGTTTACTAAAAAAGATTATGTCCATTTGAAGCTTATACAGATGTTATTAAAATTCAGTTGTAAAAGCAGCAATTATTTTTTAAGATTTATATATTTATTTGAAAGGCAGAGTTACAGAGAGGCAGAGGCAGAGAGAGAGAGAGAGAGAGAGAGAGAGAGAGAGAAAGGGGGGGGGGGTCTTCCATCCTCTGGTTCGCTCCACAATTGGCTGCAACAGCTGGAGCTGGGCTGATCCAAAGCCAGGAGCCAGTAGCTTCTTCAGGGTCTTCCACACAGGTTCAGGGCCCCAAGGACTTGGGCCATCTTCTACTGTTTTCCCAGGCATAGCAGAGAGCCAGATTGGAAGTGGAACAGCTGGGACTCGAACCAGCATCTATATGGGACATTAGCACTGCAGGCAACAGCTTCACCTGATATGCCACAGTACTGGCCCCAAGGCAGCAGTTACTTAGAATTTATACCAGTCAAAGATTTTTCTCAGGTAGGAGTATTTTATCACTGATATTGTTTAGAATTACTGGCGTGATGAGGATAAAATAGTCTTCAGCTGACTTTATGATGTGTATAAGTTCTTTATATGTAATTTAGCCTTCTATTATTGGCTGCCATTGTTTCTCTTGGTGGTGTCAAAGGGAAACAGAGAACACAAGTTAAAGACCAACTTTATTCAATAATCTTGTAGTAGGAGAAAAGAGGCTTTGGCACAGAACTGAGCTCAATTCCAAATGCAATGTAGACAACTGGAAATTAGTAGCTGATGACCAGAATGAAGGGGTCAGTGGATGGAAAATCCCCAAGTGGTGACATCAAGGTTGGGGGATTCTTGTTAAATTGACCTAATGGAATTTTTACTAAAGGCAGGCCTATACATCAAGGGTAAGGGATATAAAACTTGATTAAGTATTGAAGGTGATCAGATATAAAAAATGGAGGAATTCCTGCCAAAGTGATCTAGCAGAAGTCTTGCTGCACTGGGCTAGGCAGGCTGAGGACATGGCCAAAGATAAGGAATAGTTGAAGGAGAGCTCAATTCCTCTATTAGTCAGTCTTACATTACTATAACAAAATAACTGACACTATCTACTTATGAAGGAAAGAAAGGTCTGCTTAGCTCACGAATTTGAAGGTTCAAGTCAAAGATGGTTTGGCTTCTGTTGAGAACAGTGAAAAGGAAAGATGGGAGCTTTGTTGGAGCAAGTGGTCCTATCTTGAGTCAGGAACAGAAACAGAGACTGGGCCCAAACTGAGGCTTATGTGGCAGTCCTCTAAGCAGAACTGCTGTCTCAGGACATGCCCCTGGTAACCTAGAAACCCTCGCCTAGGCTCCGTCTCCTCAAGTTTCCTTCACCTCCAAATACAGCCTCCTTGGGAACCAAGCCTTTAGTAAATGGGCCTTTGGGTGACACCCAAATGAATATGCAAACCACAGCCAGGCCCAAGGATGAGTCTCACTGAAAGGAGAGCTCAGAGGAGTCTGACTGAACCTGGGACTAGGAGAGACTGCCAGGGACCACTGCTTAATACCCATTCTTTACTTACATTGATGGAATGGGAGTTATTCTAGAAATAAGTAAAAATAATCATAAAGAAAGCATGAGCCATTGAAGGATTGTAGAAGTCTGTCCCTTACAAGGAAGCCTGGCTTTGAGGCTAGACTTGAGGGGCCTCGCTCAGATTAAGGCAACATTAAGAAACTTTTACTGTGGGGAGCAAAACTGAGTGCTAAGGTCCCTTTAACATTCGCAATATAGCACCAAGGCAGCTTCAGTTTCTGAACCGGACCCGGTGCAGGTAAATTGATTCCATTCTGCTGAAAGCTAGCTTGCACGCAGTTCCCGCTGCCTCAGTTCTTCTCAAGGGAACAGGTGAGGGGGGTGAAAACTGGCTCCCCTGGGTGATCACACACAGAACACTGGAAAATGGACAAAGAAAGCAGCGAGGCTTCGCCCAAACCTGTTGACCTGAAAGTAAGTAGACTGCTGGAAGCTCCCTGTTACTTGAGTGACAGTTCTTGCTGTTCCTGTTCCTGAAACGAGACAGTGTGACTATAAAAATAAAGGATCCGTAATAAATGACCTTATCTTCTTATGGTGTTTAACAGAGTTTACATATGTGAGCCTGTTTTAAATTGCTACAGCTGGTGATTGATCTGCAACCGTTTTTCTGAAACTGTAGAGAAATTGTACTGATTCCTATGCAAATTTCTCTTTAAAATTTGATCAGCACTGACTAAGAATGCCCATAATATGTTCTTGCACTAAGCTCCAACCTTGGCCCTGTCAGCTCTACATGTGTTGGCATTTCTGTGTGCTTTTTTCTTCTAGTTCTGTGGGGAATGCTAGACAGTAGCCTGACACCATGGTAAGCTCACCCTCCAATGGAACGTTTTTCTCTTTAGAAATAGCATCCTCCCTTTGAGGACACTACATCAAGTGAGTCTGGTCTAGTTCAGTTTCACCAGGGAGGACATAGCTACATTTCACTCCTGGAGTTGACAAGGGTGTTGGCAAAAAGAATGAGGGAGTCCTGAATAATTCAGAGTGTACTTGGCTACATATTATCCCATTAGTTGGTGGGGTTAAAGACGGGAAGCCATGGATTTTAAAGGGAAGAGTGAGGGAGAGTGAAAGAGAACAAGCAAGCTCTTCATGATAGTGCAAAGGAGAGATTATTTCTTTGGAACTGGTGTTCTAGGTCATTGTCATTAAAAGAATGTGTGGTTAAAAGTTATTTCATCCCTGGAGTTTAGTTACCGTGACATGTAAAAATCTCTCTGTCAAAGAAGCTAAACTCTCAGATACATTATTAAAGAATTCACAGCATCAAATGACAGAAGATAGAGGAGAAGAAAGTAAAAGAGGAGGAGGAGAAACGGTTAAGTAATGTGCGTTTCCCTCTGCCAGTCCACCTTAATACACTTAAATTGGTACTTTTCCATGTAACCGGGCTTCTATTGCATTCTTTGCTTTTTAAAAGAAGTTGACTTATGCTTGGGAAACTGAGTCACTAGTAGGCTCAGTGACTGGCAGTGTTAACACAAGTAGGTTTGATTCCTATCCGACAGCCCTGCACAAATCATCAGGTCATGTTAATTCTTCCTTCCCACCACCCTGAAGCCAGAGTTGGGAATTGGGCTCATTTCTGTGAGGAAGTCTTATTTTCAGTCTCCTTCAGCCCAAAAGAATTGATTGTAAGAGAAAAACTACATAATACAAACATTTGAAATACACAGAGTTGTGTGTACCATGAATCTACCCCGTAGGACCCTCACTTCCTTGTGTGTGGTCTACCCTGCTTCATGAAATTCAGGTCTCTCCCTGACAGCATCTGTTCTGCAGAATTGGGGAGAGGCCCTGGAAACAATTTCCCTAGGGTACACATAGTGCCTCATTTTCCTAATCTCAATTGTATGGTGTGATGCAAGTCAACTTATTATATTCACAGAAATAACAACACATTTAGGCCTTTTAGCTCCAGGATTTCCTGGCTGGATAGTTCCATTTAAGCTCTAGAGTACTTCTAATATTTCTTATTTTCTTTCTTTTTAAGATATCCAATATCTCAGTTCAAGTGATCAGTGGCCAGGGGAAACCACCAGGGAGAAGACCACCACGAAAACCCATAGGCAGAGCCACGCCCAAGAAGCAATGCAAGAAGAAGGCTCCCTTTTGGAATGTCCAAAACAAAATCATTCTCTTCACTGCATTTCTATTCATCCTAGCAGTCATAGCCTGGACCCTGCTCTGGCTCTACATCAGTAAGTTCCGATCCCTGCTGCTTTGGGGTTAAGGGTGGGGTTCAGCATTAGCTATGTGGGCCTAACCTGCCCCTAGGATTTCCAGCGGGATTGTCCTCCTTCCCAGACCGATGCATCATTCCCAAAACTAGTGTTGAGGGTTTTTTTTCAAATAATTTAAAAAACTTTTTATTACTTAATTCAGTTTTTCTTATTTGAAAGGCAGAAACACAGAGAGAAACAGAGACAGAGACTTTCCATTTACTGGTTCACTTCTCAAACGCCCACAACAGCCAGGGCTGTGCCAAGCTGAAGCCACAAACCAGGAACTCAATCTGCATCTCCCATGAAAGGTGGCAGTGACCCAAGTTCTTGAGCCACCACTTACAGCTTTCCAGGATGTACGTTAACAGGAAGTTGGATAGGAAGCAGAAGAGTTGGATCTAGAACCAGGCATTCTAACATAGGGTGTGCGTCTTCCAAGTGGTGGCTTACGCACCTCCTTGTGTTGAGGTTTTAAAGAGAAAGAAACCAGAACTCCATTTCTAATTTCTCCTTTGCCTCTTACATGATCTCTTTTTTCCTGTGTAGGGCAACAAGAAGTGGAGAGATGGGGGACAGGGTGGGAAGAGCTGAGGGAGGCGTTCAGGAGATTGGGACTCGTTCAGAAATGTAATGCATTAAAGCTGTAAAACGTGAATGGAGTGGTTAGCAGCTTCACTTCCTCCATCCACCCACTGCCTCCTGTTCCTAGGCAACCTCACATTTCCAGCTCCCTGAGCTCTGTTTCACACAAGCATCCGGCTCTCCCCTGTTGTTATGCTTTTGTTGATCTGATTGATCGTTTTGGACAGGTGTCATAACTAAGCTCTTTCTTATAGAGTCCTTACTCACAGAATTCAGTAACCATGGCATTTGTTGACTTGCATTTGAGTTCCCATCTGTCGCTCCCCCTCTTCGTGGAGGAACGACACAGGACCCTGCGCTGTTCTTTCGTCTGCTCGGCCCTCCCCGGGTTTGCTGCTGGTTCTTCCCGGGTTGGCTACTATCCCTTCCACCTCCGTGGAAGGGCAGTTCCCCCTGGCCACATTCCCCACTTCCGCAGGGGAGCGGCACACCGCCGGCCGGCTTTCTCGGGGGCTGCACGGGTTCCCTTAGATGTTCCTGGTGCATGCCGTCTCTCTCCTCCTTTATAGTCCTCCTCTGCCAATCCCAACTCGGCTGCCCACACGCCGAGTACGCTGCTCTCCTCCAATCAGGAGCAAGTCCTACAGCTTATTGATTGAACTGGAGGCAGCTGTTTACTTCTCTCCCAGCGCCATATTGTGGGAGAGCAGATGCACAGAACAAGTCTTAATTCCAGCAACTCAGTCCAGTCCGGATTGCTCCCCACACCCATCCTGTACAAGTTGATATATTTGATGCGACATGCATGCTCTGTGACATGATATGAAACACACAGTTGGTCACTGCCCGCATTTCTGGCAGAGGGCTTCTCAGTTGATGTCTGTGGAAAATTGGAGAATTGCTGGATATGGAGGTTAAAAAATATCCTGCACATTTGGTGTCAGAAGTGCTGTGAGCAGAGAAACTATTTTCCTAGGTATACTTTCAAGGATATTAGAATCTGATTGGAAGACAGAATTTATAGACAGAGAATTAGTGAATATTGCCATGGACAGTTCAGGTCATGTAAGTCTGTACAGATTGATCCCTGCTTTTTGTTGTTGGTACATTATAGGTTATTAGGCCCACCTAGATGCATTTTTTACTCAGTTACTCATTTTCTACTCCTGAAAAATTCACAATTCAGGGCTGGAGCGTGTGAGTTGACGCTTTTGCTTAAGCGATAATTTTGTGACTACAGAAGAGAAACATCCAACCAGTCCAAGAATGGACTCTAGAGAAGTTTTCATGAATCAATTCCCAAAAATTCATTCAACACACTGAGAGAGGACCCACCTGTGGTCAGCATAGGGGACAGAGTGGTAAAACCAGATTTGGTCTCTGTCTCAAGGAGCTTATGGACAAGTGAGGTAGGTCAAGTGAAAGGGTAACTAAGATAAATACACACAACCCCAACACGGAACAAGCACGCTTACTGCCATCACTCTCTGCTGCATCTCAAGTGACACATTTCCATAGCTCGAACTTTTCTGTACAATATTTTGGAATGTCTTTGTGCATCAGTAGTTTGTTGGTTGTATAAATATCAGAGGACAACAAAGAGAAATTGGCATGAACAGATAAGAATTGTTTAATAGAAAGCAGCTCAGTATCCACACATGAAACCTGATTTTGGGGGGTGGCCTCGGGAAATGAGAAGGGGACCCTTGATCAGGAAGACCAGGGCAGGTCGTGTATGTCAGTCTTGTGGGGAGCAAACCGGACTAGACTGAGTTACTGGAATTAAGACTTATTCTATGCATCTGCTCTCCCACAATATGGCGCTGGGAGAGAAGTAAACAGCTTCCGCACAGCTGCCTCCAGTTCAACCAATAAACTGTAGGACTTGCTCCTGATTGGAGAGCAGCGTACTCGGCGTGTGGGCAGCCGAGTTAGGATTGGCGGAGGAGGACTATAAAGGAGGAGAGAGACGGCATGCACCAGGAACATCTATGGGGAACATCTAAGGGGAACATCTAGCTGAAGGAACACCTGTGCAGCCCCCGAGAAGAGCCGGCCGGCGGTGTGCCGCTCCCCTGCGGAAGTGGGGAATGTGGCCAGGGGGAACTGCCCTTCCACGGAGGTGGAAGGGATAGTAGCCAACCCGGGAAGAACCAGCAGCAAACCCGGGGAGGGCCGAGCAGACGAAAGAACAGCGCAGGGTCCTGTGTCGTTCCTCCACGAAGAGGGGGAGCGACATAATGGTGCCGTGACTCGGATATGAAGCCTAGGCAGGGCTTAGTGTCGTTCCTCCACGAAGACGGGGAGCGACAAGTCTGAACTTGTGTTAGTGGACATACTCTGATTCGATGCCGAATCGATTTCTCTTGCATTGTTTTTTTCCTGACTCACGAGTACAGTCATTGATGTGAGAAGGCTATGTGAGCTTCTAGAAAGATCCACAGCTCTCACCCACAATTTAGAGCCTGCAGTCAAACAGATGAATAAACAAACACATTATCTAAGTACTTCCCTATCGCTTCTCTGCCTTTTGGTTAAGATCAAGTATAGTATCTGTTCTTATCAGTTTAATATCTAAGTACTTCCCTGGTAAAAACGTACGCATGAACAACATTGTTTTATGTGGACAAGTGGTCTAAGATCACGTAACCGGAAAGAACCGATGGTGGGAGTTCACGCCTCCTGCCCGTTCCCCTGTGTTGCCCCCTCCCCACCACAGCCTCACTGCACTGCCTGAGGCTACAGTGACCCTGGAAGCTGCTTCCCAGCATTCATGTTTCTTTTTTAATTCTGCCATCATTTATTTAGCATTGCCATGTGCTTAAAGAGAGTATCCTCTCTCTCTCTCTCTCTCTCTCTCTCTCTCTCTCTCTCTCTCCCTCTCTCTCTCTTTCTCCCTTCTTGCTTTCCTCAAACATTTACTGAGTTTCAGAGCTCAGTCAGGCACTGACCCTGCTCCAGGCCAGAGAGCTTGAACACGAGGACAGACGAGCAAAGAAAAGTGATGAGATAGTGAGGTGTGTTCCCAAGGAAAGGCATGCACAAGGGCTGTGGGAGCTTGTAGGTGGCACCAAAAAGGAAGAAAATATGAACAAAAAGAAACCAGAGAAACGAGAGGCTGTCATTCCCCGCAGCCAGTGGGCGGTGGGCATTCACAGATGCCCCCAGGCTACTGAGACCCACCCTCCTGGGCAGCAGTTGTCCCAGCGTCCTCCCTGGGCACTGTAATTGAGCAGGAGGGACCTGACACCCAGCTGAAGGCCATTCTTTGTGGCTCATCGGAAGGATGAATTGTCCGTATTTTGGACCAGCCCAAGGCTGGCCTGGTACCATAGACACGCAGCCCCAAGAGTCGGGAATGACCAAGAACTCCAGGGTGATGCTCAGCGGGGTCCCTCTGTTCCCAAGGTGCTGACTCCACCCCAGAACTCGGTGATGGACAGGGCCTCTTTCCTTCCTTCCTCTCCAGAGAGGTGGCCCACACAAGTTGTGTGCATGTTGTTCTTGGCCCTTAGCTACTCTAGAATGTGAATAATGCCCAAGAAGTGGAGCTTTTATCTTTTAATCTCATCCTAGGTGTTTGCCGGAAGAGGCTAGGAAAAGTATTCAAAGAGATATGGTCATTTGCAGATGGAGGAGAGGTGGCTGGCTGCACTTAGAGCAGCACAGGCTAAGAAAAACATGTAGCTGCCTATACTGACACAGACAGGACGGTGCCTTGCAGCCAGGCTGATGGGAAACCCTTGTCATGGCGTTCTCTCCTACTCTACAGGTAAGACGGAGAGTAAAGACGCCTTTTACTTCGTTGGCATGTTTCGCATCACCAACATGGAGTTTCTTCCTGAGCACCGACAGAAGGAGTCCAGGGAATTTCTCTCAGTGGCACGGACAGTGCAGCAAGTGGTGAGGTGATGGGGGGCGGGGCTGGGAGGGCAGTGCCAAGACAGGGTGGTGGGGTCAGCAGCCTTCAGGAAAGCAGAGGGCAGGGTGGATTTAGGATGTGGACAGAGGGAAATGTGGGATTTTAGCTTATCCTTGCTCAACAAAGGAATTGCTTATGCTTTTTCTGATTGATGTAAGAAAGAAATGACTCCCTGAGCTTGTTTTGCCCCATCTTTAAAACAAAGGAATGCAATCAGATGATTTTTCAAACACCTTCCCGATCAGAAGTTATATGTAATCCTATGCCCCTATTTCAACCTGAGAAGTTGGCAATGTCTCCACGGGTTCTTTTTTTTTTCCACACAAAGTGATATTCACTTTTCTTATAGAACAATGCATGTTACAAAGGTTTGTAAAATTCAGGAAAACATAACAAACAATATCAAAACCTTTATTAGTATTACCAAAGATAAAGCCCTTTCTCTTTTTTATTAAAATTATTTATTTATTTGAAAGTCAGAGTTACAGAGAGAGAGAGGTTGTGACAGAGAGAGAGATCTTCTTCCATCTGCTTGTTCACTACTCAGAAGGCTACAACAACCAGGCCAGGCCAGGCCGAAGCCAGAAGCCAGGAGCTTCTTCCAGGTCTCCCACGTGGGTGCAGGGTGGGCCATCTTCCGCTGCTTTCCCAGGTGCACTAGCAAGGAGCTGGGTCATAAGTGGAGCAACTGGGACTCGAACCAGGACTCACATGGAATGCCAGTGTCACAGGTGGAGGCTTAACATGCTACACCACAATGCCAACCCCAATAATCTGATTTTTTAGCACTAGATTGCATGTGTCTATGAAAGTAAATATGATTAACTCTGTCTGTCAAAAAAAAAAGGCTGGTGCTGCGGCTCACTTGGCTAATCCTCCGTCTATGGTGCTGCTACTCTGGGTTCTAGTCCTGGTTGGGGTGCTGGTTCTGTCCTGGTTGCTCCTCTTCCAGGCCAGCTCTCTGCTGTGGCCCGGGAGGGCAGTGGAGGATGGCCCAAGTGCTTGGGCCCTGCACCCTATGGGAGACCAGGAGGAAGCACCTGGCTCTCTTTTAGAAAATATTTTAAGTATAAATATTAAGTATATTTAAGTATATTAAGTATATTTAAGTATATTAAGTATAAATATTAAGTATAAATATTTTAAGTATAAAACTTAAATATTTTAAGTTTTAAGTATCTCAAAATTAGCAAATCTCCTTTTGTTGTATGTTTAAACTATTTCCAATTTTTCTAGTATAATTTGACAACAAAACTGCCACATAAGGTATATATATCACATAAAGCTAATTTGATTATTTCCTTGGATGATTTCCTGAACTTTTAATAACTTGGCCAAATAGAAATGAAAAATCTACTCACATCTCTTGGCACATTACCAACAGTTCTTGGCACATTAAATTTCCTCCAGTCTGTATTTCCACAGTAACGGAGGGGTTGGATAGCAGTGACCTTACACAGTGACAGGTACCTTGCAAGCTAGAATGAGCAAGGGTTGTGAGAGAGAAAGGAAGCACTCAGAGCCACGACTAGCAGAGTGGCTCTTACTTACTGAATGCTGTGCTGTCTGTAGTGGGTTCATCGTGAAACCCTCCTCTGATACATAGGATTAATTCTTTAAATTATCTTAATTATAATATTTTGCTCATGTTAATGGATGGAAAGAAAAAGAGAATGACGGCTCAGCAGGTTTAGGCAACACAATTTTATTTTATTTTTTTAACTATTTTTTTAACTTTTATTTAATAAATATAAATTTCCAAAGTACAACTTTTGGATTACAGTGGCATTTTCCCTCCCATAACTTCCCTCCCACCCACAACCCTCCCATCTCCCGCTCCCTCTCCCATTCCATTCATATCAAGATTCATTTTCAATTATCTTTATATACAGAAGATCAATTTAGTATATATTAAGTAAAGATTTCAACAGTTTGCACCCACGCAGAAACACAAAGTGTAAAGTACTGTTTGAGTACTAGTTATAGCGTTAATTCGCATTGGACAACACATTAAGGACAGAGATCCTTCATGGGGAGTAAGTGCACAGTGACTCCTGTTGTTGACTTAACAATTGAACTCTTGTTTATGGCATCAGTAATCACCCTAGGCTCTTGTTATGAGTTGCCAAAGCTATGGAAGCCTTTTGAGTTCGCCGACTCCAATCTTATTTAGACAAGATCATAGTCAAAGTTGAAGTTCTCGCCTCCCTTCAGAGAAAGACACCTCCTTCTTTGATGGCCCGTTCTTTCCACTGGGATCTCATTCAAAGAGATCTTTCATTTAGGTGTTTTTTTTTTTTCCAGAGTGTCTTGGCTTTTCATGCCTAAAATACTCTCATGGGCTCTTCAGCCAGATCTGAATGCCTTAAGGGCTGATTCTGAGGCCAGAGTGCTGTTTAGGACATCTGCTATTCTATAAGTCTGCTGTGTATACTGCTTCCCATGTTGGATCGTTCTCTCCCTTTTTGATTCTATCAATTAGTATTAACAGACACTAGTCTTGTTTATGTGATCCCTTTGACTCTTAATCCTATCATTATGATCAATTATGAACTGAAACTGATCACTTGGACTAGTAAGATGGCATTGGTACATGCCACCTTGATGGGATTGAATTGGAATCCCCTGGCACGTTTCTAACTCTACCATTTGGGGCAAGTCCGATTGAACATGTGCCAAACTGTACATCTCCTCACTCTCTTATTCCCACTCTTATATTTAACAGGGATCACTTTTCAGTTAAATTTCAACACCTAAGAATAATTGTGTGTTAATTATAGAGTTCAACCAATAGTATTAAGTAGAATAAAAAAATACTAAAAGGGATAAAGTATTGAGTTGTTCATCAACAGTCAGGACAAGGGCTGATCAAGTCATTGTTTCTCATAGTGTCCATTTCACTTCAACAGGTTTCCTTTTTGGTGCTCAGTTAGTTGTCACTGATCAAGGAGAACATATGATATTTGTCCCTTTGGGACTGGCTTAATTCACTCAGCATCATGTGTTCCAGAGTCCTCCATTTTGTTGCAAATGACCAGATTTCTTTTTTTAACTGCTGTATAGTATTCTATAGAGTACATATCCCATAATTTCTTTATCCAGTCTACTGTTGATGGACATTTAGGTTGATTCCATGTCTTAGCTATTGTGAATTGAGCTGCAATAAATATTAAGGTGCAGACAGCTCTTTTATTTTTTTAAATTTTTATTTATTTATTTATTTTTTGACAGGCAGAGTTAGACAGTGAGAGAGAGAGAGACATAGAGAAAGGTCTTCCTTCCCTTGGTTCACCCCTCAAATGGTTGCTATGGCCAGAGCTGCATAGATCTGAAGCCAGGAGCCAGGTGCTTCCTCCTGGTCTCCCATGCAGGTGCAGGGCCCAAGGACTTGGTCCATCCTCCACTGCCTTCCCGGGCCACAGCAGAGAGGACAGCTCTTTTATTTGCTAATTTAATTTCCTTTGGGTAAATTCCAAGGAGTGGGAAGGCTGGGTTGTATGGTAGGGTTATATTCAGGTTTCTGAGGAATCTGACTTCCATAGTGGCTTTACCAGTTTGCATTCCCACCAACCGTGGGTTAGTGTCCCTTTTCCCCCACATCCTTGCCAGTATCTACTGTTGGTAGATTTCTGAATGTGAGCCATTCTCACCAGGGTGAGGTGAAACCTCATTGTGGTTTTGATTTGCATTTCCCTGATGGCTAGTGATCCTGAACATTTTTCCATGTGTCTGTTGGCCATTTAGATTTCCTCTTTTGAAAAATGTCTATTGAGGTCCTTGGCCCAACTCTTAAGTGGGTTGCTTTTTTTTTTTTTTTTTTTTTGGTGGAGTTTCTTGATGTCTTTGTAGATTCTGGTTATTAATCCTTTATCTGTTGCATAGTTTGCAAATATTTTTTCCCATTCTGTTGGTTGCCTTTTCACTTTCCTGACTGTTTCTTTTGCAGTACAGAAACTTCTCATTTTGATGTAATCCCAATTGCTAATTTTGGCTTTGACTAGTCAACACAATTTTAAAAAATATTTATTTATGGATGGCACTGTGGTGTAGTGGTATAGTAGGCTAAGCCTCTGCCTGCTGTGCCAGCTTCCCATATGGGCATTGGTTCTAGTCCCAGCTGCTCCTCTTCCCATCCAGCTTTCTGCTATAGCCTGAGAAAGCAGTGGAAGATGGCCTAAGTGCTTGGGCTCCTGCACACATGTGGGAGACTGGGAAGAAACTCCTGGCTCCTGGCTCCTGGCCTCTGATTGGCGCAGGTCTGGCCATTGAGGAGTGGACCAGCAGATGGAAGAACTTTGTCTCTCTCTCTCCCTCTCTCTCTCTCTCTGTAACTCTACTTCTCAAATAAACAAATAAAATCTCTTAAAATATTTATATATTTGTCATATTTTATTTCAAAGAGAGACAGAGACACAAACAGAGGGAGAGAGAGATCTTCCACTCCCTGGTTCACTTTCCCAATGTTCCTAAGAGCCAGGGCTAAGCTAGATTGAAGGCAGAGCCCAGAATTCAAGCAGGGTCTCCCACGTGGGTGACAGGGACTTAAGTACTGGAGCCATCACCTGCTCCCTCTCAGGATGCATATTCCCAGGAAGCCGGAATCAGGAGATGGAACATAAGCTCCAGTATTGGATATGGATGTGCCAGGTGGTGTCTTAATCAATGCATGAAATGTTGCCCTAAGAAACAGTCATTATTGCACAGTAAATTTAACTGCACAGCTCATTTGTTTTCCATGGTTCTTTATAATTTCTAAGGTTATTTTTACTTTTTTATTTTTGTATTCTGAGCAATTAGGTAGATGGCTTTGCAATTATGGAGGAAGGCACAGGAGGAGGAGATTTGGGACAAGAGAATGAAGTTGGCTTTAGAAATGCTAAGTAGAGGTAAAGAAGGTAAATTGGCATAGCTCTCCTTTGAGATCCTGGGGTTTTAAAAGGGCTGGGGACGTCCCTACTCTTCTGCAGGGGAAAATGGAGCTGGCCTTGGGCATCTTCGCCCCCTGGTGGCTAAAAGAGGAACGTGTTCTTAAGACACAGTGATGGCCTTCTAAATAGAACAGAGGCTGGGTCAAATACTATGAAAAGGTGCTTAAATGAGTTTTATTTGTTACCTGTGCAGAAAGTTACACTTTGGAGTGGGCAGAATACAGAAATTAAGATTGATCCAAGTCTTTAAAGAGAGCAATCGGGGCAATTCTGCCTCACAGACAGATAAATGAAAGTAACTCAAGAATTGCTACAGAAGTAAGGCTGTATTTGAATTCAAGAAATAATGCCTGCATTTGGAGGTAGGGACCTTCAGTTTGCACGTGGCTTTTCTCCTTGCTAGCTGTTAGAGCATGGCCCTGCAACTTGCAAGTTGCGGTGGAAGGAAGTTGAATTTGAAAGGCTTCAGACACCTCAATTCTTTTGCAGGTAAACCTGGTTTACACAACCTCTGCCTTCTCCAAATTTTACAAGCAGTCTGTTGTTGCTGATGTCAGGTAAAGCCTGTCCCTTGTTTTGAGAGTTCTGTCTTCACTGCTATAAATTCTCCTTAAGCTGTGGAAGGGCTGAGTTTGTACCTTTCTCAAGTGTCTCAGCTTAACCTTCTATGCCATGCACCCTCTCCTCAAATCCCATCTGCTCCCCATTGTGGAAATCCCGAACTCCGTATCAGTGCTGTTGGGCAAAGTGGCCATAAACATGGCTACCGTATTGGCTTGAGGTGGAGGTGAAAGTAAAGCTCAGACCACGATTTCTCAAAATATGTTCAATGAAGAAGTGGTCACTAGAGATCTTAAGGGGGAAAAAAAAAGATTTCAAGGTCAAATAGTTTTTAGGAAAAATTGTGCATGGTGTATTAGATTCCACCTTGGCTACCTCCATTGTATCCATAGAGATTCACAATCCATTTTGACCTACTAAAGGCACTGAGAAGCCTTGCGTAAAGCAACTGTGAACTTTCCTTCACCTCCCACTCCCCAATTATCTACTACTCTCTTTTGTCTTTCATTTAAAAATGGTAGTATTTGTGCAATTAGGAGTTCAGGCTTTGAGGTCAGAGTGAACACCAAATATCCATGGAAATAGTATACCCTCCACTGAGATATAACTATACAACAATGATTTTAGATTTGAATATAACATAGTCATCAGAATGCATGTCACATGATGCTTTTCCTTCCAATCCCCAAAATAGGGACCAATGACCACTCAGAGAAGGGAATTAGGTTTAGCTGAATGTGTTCTCCAGCCTTGTCTGTTGGGGTACTGCCTCCCTGTGAAAAGTTTACTTCCCAAGAAGTATCCCTGAATCTCTCTCTCTCTATTTATTTCTACTATAGCAGCAACAACAAAGGTGGCCTCCTTGTCCACTTTTGGATTGTGTTTGTCATGCCCCATGCCAAGGGCCATTTCTTCTGTGAGGACTGTGTGGCAGCCATCTTGAAGGACTCCATCCAGACAAGCATCATCAACCGGACCTCTGTGGGGAGTTTGCAGGGTCTGGCTGTGGACATGGACTCTGTGGTACTAAATGGTGATTGTTGGCTAACTTTCCTCTAACCCTTCCTTCCTTATGCTTGTCACTATGGTAGTCAACCTTGCAATCCAGTTTCCTCCTCCACAATCCCAGTGGCCCAGGGTTACTGAAGTCAGTGGGACTATGCTGATTAAGGAAACTGGTAAATATATACATATCATACAGTGATTGAACAATAGAACTGAGGACAAAATATGCATAAAATTCAATTTATTAATATGTAACTCTCCTTACATCTATTTGGCTCAAGCATTGTCAAACTAAGTTCCTAAGGAATGAAGTCTTGGAGAAAGAAAAATTTTGCTGAGGCTTATCTAGCCTCTTCCCTTGTCCCTAAAGAAACGTACCTAGATTATGTAGCAGGGCCCCGTGTTCCAAAATTGCCTGATCCATAGCCTTGTCAAATGCAAATTTAATCCTCTGTCCAGACAAATGGTTTAATTTTTGTGTATTCCCAAGCATCCCAAGTGTATACAGCTTTTATTATATACATACACACACACATATATATGAAATAAATATATACATATATGCTAGTCATACAGTAGTTGGCTAATACATATATGCACGTGAATGGATGAAGAACCTCTAGTGAAAAAGCCTGCATCATCTTTACTATTTCAGACACAGGACTGATTATTATGTTTGTTTTGGTTGCCTTTTTACCTTAAAAATATTTGAAATGTGTAACTATAAATGATTTTAAGGGTGCAGAAGTAAAGAGAAGATTATAATGAACTCTAGTATATCCTTTATTCAGCTTCAGCTTCAACAACTATCAACTTATTGTAGTCCTATTGGATCGTTAAATACCTGAACAACCTCCCACATCCTCACTGGGTATTTTAAAACAAATCACAGATATGTTTGGTTGTTTTTAAAGAAATGGACTGAAAATAATTTTTACTAAGCAAAATGCTAGCAACATGAAATCAAGGCACTAACAGACTCTGTTCCGTGTGCTTTCTTAATGCAGAAATCACAGATATGTTTGGTTGTTTTTAAAGAAATGGACTGAAAATAATTTTTACTAAGCAAAATGCTAGCAACATGAAATCAAGGCACTAACAGACTCTGTTCCGTGTGCTTTCTTAATGCAGCTGGGCTTCGATCAGATTACTCTTCAACAATAGGATCTGGTAAATTTTTGCACGTGGTCTCTCTTCTCTCCCCCAGCTCTCACTAGTATCCTTTTTGCTTATAATTCTTCTTTTCTAGTTATGATGCTTTTTGGTGCTCTTTTAGTTACCAGAGGCATAAATACATTCAAACTGGCTCAAGCACAAAAGAGATTTGACAGACGCATACACCTAGGATAGATATGGAATATTCTGGCTTCAGGTGTGCCTGGATCTAGGTTCTAAAAGAAAATATTAGGACTCTCTATCTCTGCCTTCTGTTGAGGCTTCATTATCAATTTCTTTTTCTATTGTGGCGGCAAAAATGGCCACCAGCATATCCAAATGTATAATTTCTTATTTTCTCAATCATCATGGAAACCACCCCCTTTCCCTGCACACACACAATATTTTCTGGCAGTTCTAGCAGAATTCTTGAGACTTCAGACTGGGTTTCATTGTCCATATTGGCTGACATCCCATTCCTGAACTAATTTCTTATTTTATGTATATAAAAGGCAGGGGTGGGGGACAGAGAGAGAGAGAGAGAGAGAGATCTTATTTGCTAGTTCATTCCTCAAATTCTCACAATCGCCAAGGCTGGTCCAGGCCAAATCAGGAACTGGGAACTCCATCCAGGTCTCCCTCGTGGGTGGCAGGGACCCAACCACTTGAGCCATCATCTGCTGCCTCCCAGGGTTTGCATTAGCAGGAAGCTGGAATTGGGAGTGGTGCCAAGATTAGAACCCAGACACTCTAATAAGGAATATGGGTACCCTGAGCTGCATCATAACTGCTGTGCCAAATGCATGTTCCTCAGGCAACTTCTTTGACTTTGGCCATTCTGGGTCATGTACCCGCCTCTATAGCTGGGGGTGAGTTTAACCCCCATCAAACTATATAGACATGGGACTGGTGCTGTGGCGCAGTGGGTTAAAGCCCCAGCCTGCAGCTATGGCATCCCATATGGGTGCCGGTTTTAGTCCCGGCTGCTCTTCTTTCAATCTGGCTCTCTGCTAAGGCCTAGGAAAGCAGTAGAAGATGGCCCAAGTCCTTGGACCCCTGCATCCACATGAGAGACCCAGAAGAAGCTCCTGGCTTCGGATCAGCTCAGCTCTGGTTATTGTGGTCATTTGAGGAGTAAACCAGCAGATGGAAGACTCTCTCTCTCTCTCTCTCTCTGGCCCTACCTCTCTCTGTAAATCTTCTTTCAAACAAGTAAAATAAATCTTAAAAAATACAAAGAGAAAACTATATAGACAGGGCAGGGACAGTGTCTCCAGGTAAAATCTAGGTGCTGTTGCAGGAGAGCGGGGATTGGATGCGAGGCTGGCAAAGCCAGCAGACCTTCTCCACCTCAGGTCCTTTGCTCTTTACTTTCCTGTCAAGATTGCTAGAAGAGTCATTTCTAAGGAAACAACAGAAAAAAAGAGAAAGTGCTGTCTCCACAGACAAAGGTTGCTCTCAGTACTTCTACGCAGATCATCTGTCCCTCCGCTACCCTCTAGAGATTTCTGCGACCTCAGGGAGGCTAATGTGTCACTTCAAGCTGGTGGCCATTATGGGATACCTGATCCGTCTCTCGATTGAATCCGTCGAAATTGAAGCCGACAACTGTGTCACCGACTCCCTGGCCATTTATGACTCCCTCTTGCCAATCCGGAGCACCGTCTTGTACAGGTACCACCCAGGCACTCTTTGTTGGTGGGCTGAAGTTTCTGTTGTACAGTTTCTGGATTCCACTTAGATTTCTGTGGGTATCTCGGCATCGGAGACTGAGCCTTGCTTCATTTAGCGCCCCATGTACTTCAGCTCCTTGCCAGAGCCTTCGCCCTCAATGTTTGCCACTTGCAGCAAGAGCTTCAGCCAATGTGCCTGCAATATGAGATATGTTGTGGAATTTTACTCTTATTGAGGTCACTATGAAGCCCAACTGCTTCTTTTTTATTTTTTTTTAAGATTTGTTTATTTATTTGAAAGTCAGAGTTACACAGAGAGAGGAGAGGCAGAGAGAGAGAGAGAGAGAGGTTTTCTTTCCAATGGTTCACTTCCCAATTGGCCGCAACGGCCAGAGCTGCGCTGACCTGAAGCTAGGAGCCAGGAGCTTCTTTCAGGTCTCCCACATGTGTGCAGGGGCCCAAGGACTTGGACCATCTTCCACTGCTTTCCCAGGCCACAGCAGAGAGCTGGATTGGAAGAGGAGCAGCTGGGACTAGAACCAGCGCCCATATGGCATGCCGGCTCTTCAGGCCACGGCGTTAACCTGCTGTGCCACGGCGCCGGCCCCAAAAGATTTATTTTATTTTTTATTTTTATTTTTGAAAGAATTACAGAGCCAGGGAGAGAGAGCAAGGGAGAGAGAGAGAGAGAGAGAGAATCTCCCATCCTCTGATTCACTCTCCAAATGGCCACAACAGCTGGAGATGAGCTAATTGGAAGTCAGGAACCAGGAGCTTCTTCTGGGTCTCCCTCGTGAATGCAGGGCCCAAGGACTTGGGCCATCTTCCACTACTTTCCCAGGCCATACAGAGAGCTGGATCAGAAGAGGAGCATCCGGGACTAGAACTGGCGCTGATATGGGATCCTGGCACTCCAGGCGGAGGCTTTAACCTATGTGCTGGCCCTCCAACTGCTTTAATAGAGTATAAAAATAAATATCTTTGCACAGTATTTATAAAATGGTAGAATTGTTTTCCTTATTACAAAGATGACATATGTTCATTGCAGAAAATGAGGTCAGGCAGTAAAAACAGTATTAACTACTTCGAAAACAAGCATTACCCAAAACAAATTTCTGTTTTAGCATAAGTCCTTTCATTCATGAATATATGATTACAAAAAATATGCACTAATACATATCATGTGTTTTTTACCTATTAGTAGACATTTGTTTATGAATGCTTAATATTTGATACGCTAATAATGAGTTAGTCTTTGTTAAGAAATTATTGTTACCTACTGTGCTAAATGGCCATATGAATTATGTTTTTTAAAAAAATTGTATTCTCTTATTTTTGTTTTATTTGAAAAAGAGAACGAGAGACAGAGAAGGGAGAAAGATCTTTGATCCACCTGTGCACTTCCCACATGCCAGCAAGAGCTGGGGCTGGGCCAGGCCAAAGCCAGGAGTCCGGACTGCCATTTGAATCTTTCATGTGGGTGGCAGGCACCCCCCGCCGAGCCATCATCTGTTGCTTCCCAGGGCGTGCACTAGCAGGAAGCTGGGATCAAATGTGGAGCCAGGACTGGAGCCAGATGCCCCGACATGGGACGAGAGCATCCCGAGTGGCATCTCAACTGCTGTGCAGATGCCTGCCCTTATCTTACTGCTTGTAACTGTTTATATATGTAGGTAGCAGTCCTTCATGTGTGTTTGTATGTATGTATTCATATTTTGGGTTGCGGATGTACATGCTAAAAATTCAAATACGATAGGAGGATATTCTGTGAAAAGTAGGTTTGTGCTGGCTCCCATTCCTCAGTCCTTGCTGTTTTCATCATTTCAGACATTGGATTATCTCCCTTACTGCTCACCACAGTACAGTGAGAAGCACACTGTTATTGGGAAGCTATTGCTTTCTAAGAGACGGTTCCTTGATTGCCAGCATCGTTATCCAGCTGAATGGTGGAGTTCAGTTTTGAGCCTAGTTTTCCTCAGCACAGCACCCTTGATCTTAGTGTTGAATGCATGGCTTTTTTTAATCTTGTTTGCTCGCAAGAGGGTCCAGTGGTGGCCATGCAGGAGAATCCTTTGATATTCATTACTGGACAGAAATTTCTGTACGGTTTTTGGCTCTGTTCCATTGGTAGTTCCCTTTGGTTACTGATAGATGAAGATCTGGCTGGCAGAGACTGATTTACAGGATCCATGTGGATGGATCCGGAAATGTGTGGAATTAGTGTTGGATGGAAGCCATTCCTCAAATAATCTGTTGTTCCTGTACTTTTGTTTTGTTGTTCAATTTCAGAATTTGTGAACCTACGAGGACATTAATGTCATTTGTTTCTACAAATAATCTCATGCTGGTGACATTTAAATCTCCTCATATAAGAAGGCTATCAGGAATCCGGGCATATTTTGAGGTCATTCCAGAACAAAGTAAGTCTTCTCCAATTAAAAAAAAAAAAAAGAAAAGAAAAGTCACTTTTGGAAATATTAACAGAGCTTGAAGATAAAAGCATTCATTTTCTCTGAGGCTCTGCTTCAATGTTTGGGGTACTAGCGAGGGACTCTGGGTCACGGTCCAGCCGGGGGACAGAGGATGCATTAGTGATTTTAACCAAGTGAATTTAATGAGGAGCTCTTAACATCATCAGGTAACACAGAGGGCCTGAAAGGTATCATGAATGGTGTACACACAGAAAGCAACAGTGACTCAGGGCTGGGGAAGGCAGGTGCAAATGATCACACTGTGGGCTTGGGGAGGGGCCGCTGTGCTGGGTTGCAGGTGTCTCTGAGGTCAGAGCTACGCTTTTTTTTTTTTTTTAATTTATTTTATTTTTTTTAAATTTATTTAATTTTTTTTTTTTTATTTTTGACAGGCAGAGTGGACAGTGAGAGAGAGAGACAGAGAGAAAGGTTTTCCTTTTACCATTGGTTCACCCTCCAATGGCCGTTGCGGCTGGCGCGCTTCGGCCGACGCACCGCGGCCGACGCACCGCGCTGATCCGAAGCCAGGAGCCAGGTGCTTCTCCTGGTCTCCCATGTGGGTGCAAGGCCCAAGCACTTGGGCCATCCTCCACTGCACTCCCTGGCCACAGCAGAGAGCTGGACTGGAAGAGGGGCAACCGGGACAGAATCTGACGCCCCGACCAAGACTAGAACCCGGTGTGCCAGTGCCGCAAGGCGGAGGATTAGCCTATTGAGCCACGGCGCCAGCCAGAGCTACTCTTTAAAAGAGAGTAATAGCAACCTTCAGATCTGCCGCCAAAACATATGGTTTGAAAGCAAATTTATTTTGGGAACAAAGTATTTTAGCTACCTATCCTCAGGGTGCTATTTAAAAAAAATCAAAAATCAAAAAAAGTACCAGCTTATTGGTCAAAGAAGCATGTATTTGTAATTAAAGAAATGCATCTGTGTATTTTCCTCTTAAATCATTGTGTGTTACTGGATATCTTTTTCAGAGTGTGAAAACACGGTGCTGATCAAAGAAATCACTAGCTTTGAAGGGAAGATTCTGAGTCCATATTACCCAAGCTACTACCCTCCAAAGTGCAAGTGTACCTGGAAATTTCAGGTAGCTGAGTTTTACCAGTGTCTTAGAGAAACACTGCTATTCTGTTTCTAGCACTACTTTTTTGAATACCATCATCTTATTTTTCATATTACAAAATGATTATCTTTGAATTTTTAAAATTTAAACTTTATTGACATATATTACCCAATTTTCCTGGAGTTTCAACTCTCTGCCCACCAATCAACTTCTCTTAATAGACAGAGCTTATTTCTCCAGTTAATTTTATTTGTGCAAAATAATGCAAAAGCATTGTTTCAGGATCAAAGAATTATTTTTGTTATGATAGAGATAATTTCTCAATTCTTAATTACACCATCATAATGGAAATAGTTAATAATAAACTGGATTAGGCATACACATTTTTGTTTTATAAGCAAACCAGAGCACAAATTTGTATGAAATACATACATCTCCCTCTGATGTTAGATATGGCATTCCTCTTTTTTTTTTTTTTTTTTTTTGAAAAAAAAATTGTTTATTTGAAAAGCAATTACAGGGAGATAGAGACATTTTTCTTTCACTGTTTCACTTCTTAAATGGCTGCAATGGCTGGGACTGGGCAAAATAGAAGCCAGGAGCTAGGAATTTCATCCAAGTCTTCCTCATGGGTGGCAGGGGCCCAAGTGCCTGGGCCATCTTCTGCTGCCCTCCCAGGCAGCAGGTACATTAGCAGGTATCTGGATTGGAGGAGGAGCGGCCAGGATTTGAAACAGTGCTTCAGTGTAAGATGTCTTCTTGTCACAATGCCACTCCCTGCCCCTTTTTAATATTAGACTGTAAGCTGTTTTTCTTTCTCTGGCTGTAGTATCATGTGGAGGGAGGGCTACCTTTGCTCACTAGTATATATGTTGTTATTGTGTGGAGAGAGCCATTTGGATGTATGTGGCAAGCAGTATGTAGCTTGCATTCGTTCAGTGTGTTCTTGAGGGACCATAATGGGCCAGGCACACAGGGACTATTCTACACACTGAGAATCCACGAAACCTGGCAACAAAAAGTCCTGCTCTCAGAGAGCTTACCTCCCAGTAGCAGGAGGTAGGCAGTAGACAAGGCCAGTGTACACAGGATATCAAAAGGAGAGACAGTGCTATGGAGAAAAATAAAGCAGGAAAGGGGCACTATATGATGAGTGGGAGTGGGGAATGTGAAGGGTAGCAAGGCAGGGATTTTTTGTCTTAAGTGGGAAGGTTAGAGAAACTCTCAATGACAAAGGAGCATTTGCTGAGAAACCTGAGAGATGAGGAAGCTAGCCACGTGGATACCCAGGATAAGAAGGCAGTTGCAGAAGGAGGCATGTATGTTGACTTGTGCATGCCCTTACCAGTTAGATTGTTAAAATAATTTCATTTTCTACCCAAATCATTGGTGTCAACATCCTGATGACTTGTATCCTTATGTTTTTTTTTTTTTTTTACCATTATCACAAACATTTCCAAAATAATTAAAAGGTAGAGGTGCTGGCCACTGGCTCAGTGTGCTTTTCAAGGCCTCGGGTAGCAGAAGCACAAGGCCCCAGCTGAGCAGATCGTCTAAGGGCTGGAGGGAGGTGTGGAGAGGAGGAGTGCAAGCAGGGGTTGGAGAAGGATAAAGAGAAAACACCAAATCCCTGTGGCTTCAACTCCCCCCAACCCAGGCTTCTCTTCTCAGGTTAGTCAGAATGAGAAAGGCACCATTCTCAAAAGCCCTGTGAAATGCTTGGGCTTCCTTGGAGATACACTGGATCTTGACTCCATGGTAACCCACAAGCTTCGGATGAAAGCACCCAATGTCACTGTAATCTTTAGCCATGCTGTAAATAAGAAGATCACTTCAGAAATGAGGATCTGGAAATGCTGATGCAAAGAAGTCTTATTAGAAAAAGGACACATCCCTGAGGGAATGAGGAGTGGGAGACGGGGGACAGGGAACACGTGGCTGACCTTGTCTCCCAGGGTCAAGGTTTGTCTTTGGTGGGAGATTAAATGAAGCCCTTCCTGTTTCTGAGGGCTTTGAACAGCCACCTCCAGCACTGTGAGAGTGCACTCTGAATGGAAATCAGTGTTAAAACATTTTTTCACCTGTAAAATAGCTTCAACTCAACCAGAAACAACTAAGAACCAGGTGACTCAAGTAACAAAAACATGGACTCGAGTCATGGTAAAACTTTTTTTAATCCAAAAGCTGATTTTTTTTCTCCAAAATCCCTTTTAGGGTCTGGTCCTATTTCCAAAGTTTACTGAAGAGCAATCAACCCTGTTTGCAAACTCACTGTCAGCTGAGTTTTGAGGTTTCGTGTATCTGCAAAGAATTAGCTCTTACTCCACTATAAACAGCATTAGATTCCTCTCCTACATTCTCTTATCCGCTCAGCAAATACCAATCAAATGCCTGCTGTGTGTCAGGCTCCACTTAACACCACTGAATACCAAGATAAAGTCCTTGCTCCCCTCAGAGCTTACAGACTACTGGGGAAGAGGGAACAACCACTAAAACCATAAAAAGCATGCTGAGTTTATAAAATTTGTCTACGTTGGCTTAGCACACATATTCTTATTTGCTCCTCCAAACATACTGTTGATGTAGGAGAGTTGTTCTCATCACGTTTTATAGAAAAGAAGCAGATATGGGGGCAAACCATTTGCCAGAGTCAATCACATAGTGGTGAGCCAGGTAGGCCTAGAAGAATCACACCACCTCCATAAGTCAATTCAGTTCTCCCTGCCTTTTCTACAGATGTTCGGCTTTCCTGGGTTTCAGAGCAATCACTTAGCTGAACATTTACTTCCCTCTCCCTTCCTTCTTTGTGTATCCCACTAATTGAGTTTTGGAATCTTAGAAAATGGAGCAGTGCTTTGAATGGTTACGTTTCAAATGTCATCAGCCCAGCATCATAAAGTTTAGGTCCACCCAGTGTGTGCAGGGATTACTAAGAGCTGTGTAAGTGTCCTCCTCCCATTGCTTGGGAAATGGACAGGATTCCCCGAAGGGAGAGCCTCTCCCTACTCCCATGAAGGGAATATGCAAGCATTTCTGCTACAGGGATTTCTAGTGCTCACCTGAATGGGGTTCTGGGTTGCATGAGCATTTGCACAACCACTGGCAAATCTGGAGTCTGTTCTGCATTGTGTTGCCATCACTGACTAAAGAAATATTCATTATTACAGTCTCAATCACAAAATTCCTCCCGTAACCTGGTTAAGTTTCCCAATGCAAAGGCAAGGTAGTACGGAACCGAAACTGAAAGCACAGAAGCATAGGGAGATAGTAAACTTACTTTCTTGTTCATTTGTTGAAACAGCTTGAAATACAAGGCAACGGTGCTTCTTTCCCCCACTTTCAAGCAGAAATACCCCTTGACCAACCTGTGTACAAATGTAGAATTGTGTGCAGTTCTGAGTCAGTATAGTACACATGCAACAGAATTTATTTTCTTTCACTATGGAGAGACTCAATGAATTGGGGGAGGTGCATGAAATACATTTTATTTTGAAGCAATGGAGCATAGTGAAAATGCCCAAGTTTATTGATAGAATATTGGAATGGAAAGTGTTCTCTCTCTCTCTTTTTTTTTTTTTTTTTTTTTGACAGGCAGAGTGGACAGTGAGAGAGAGAGACAGAGAGAAAGGTCTTCCTTTGCTGTTGGTTCACCCTCCAATGGCCGCCGCGGCTGGCGCACCGCGCTGATCCGATGGCAGGAGCCAGGTACTTATCCTGGTCTCCCATGGGGTGCAGGGCCCAAGCACTTGGGCCATCCTCCACTGCACTCCCTGGCCACAGCAGAGAGCTGCCCTGGAAGAGGGGCAACCGGGACAGAATCCGGCGGCCCAGACCGGGACTAGAACCCGGTGTGCTGGCGCCGCAAGGCGGAGGATTAGCCTAATGAGCCGCGGCGCCGGCCGAAAGTGTTCTTACACTATAGTATTTACTTTGTTACAAAAGACATTATGTCTTAGTTTGCATGTATATGTATATTTATGCTATATATATATATGCTTATATATATTGTAATGTGAAGAAATAGCCAGATGACCAAATTGGTCCTCAGGAGTCCTGGGCTTTTGGTGAACATAAGGCAATCCTGTACCTATTGAGCCCAGAACATTTGTGTTCATGGGGTGGGGGTGGGGTTGGGGGGGGTGGGGTGCAGCTTTGGAGGAATATAGGACTGGTTTGAACCTCTGGTCTGCATTTCCTCACCATGGGAAAGGAGCTGATCTTTGGTTAGCCTTGCCTTCTTCTATAAAATGGAAATCATACCACTTGCCTAACATGGTGGCTGTGATGCTTAAATGAGAAAGAGGGGCGGGCATTGGGCCAAGTGGTTAAGCTGCTGCTTGGGAACCCTGGATCCCATATCAGGTCCCAATTCTGCTCCCAATTCCAACTTCCTGGTCATGCACACTCTGGGAGGCAGTAGGTGGGGACTGGAATACTTGGCACACACCACCCACCTGGGAGACCTGGCTTCAGTTCCCAGCTCCTGGCATCAGCCTGGCCCAGCCTCAGCTGCTATAGGCTTGGGAGTCATGAACCAGCATGGGAGGTCTCTGTCTTTATCTCTCTATGTATCTCTGCCTGTCAAATAAAACAGAGAGAGAGAAAGAGAGAGAGAGAGAAATCTGCCTCTCGAAGGCAGGTGGTAAAAGTCGGTTTGCCATATTAAGTGTACATTAAAAGAGGACATAAGCACACATGCAAGTATAACATACATAATGACATAATTAAAAAAATCTGTCAGAGCATTAAAAGACATTGGGTAAAACTCATTTAAAGAAAAAGATCATAAAATTTAATTACAAACTAGTACCTAAAACTTAACTTTATCTTGCTTTCAAAAGCAATTAAATGAACCAAAAAAAAAAAAAATCACAATAAAGCTGAACAGAAAGGAAACTTTGTTCCAAGTCAGCGCAAGCAAAAGCAAAGTAGGATTCACAGTTCCAGGCAACATGAAATTAGGACAATAGTATCCTTGATTTTAAAGTAAGAGAAGGAAGGTGATCTACAGTGATAGAGAGGAGGTCCACCAGATCTGATTATGACAAGTATTTACACAGCGAACGACGTAGCATCCACACCCATAAAACAACACAAGGGGCCGGCGCTGTGGCACAGAAGTTTAAGCCTCTGTGCAGTGCTGGCATCCAACATGGGTGCTGGTTTGAATCTCTGATGCTCCACTTCTGATCTGCTCCCTGCAGGAAAGCAGCGGAAGATGGCCCAAGTACTTGGGCCCCTGCACTCTTGTGAGAGACCAGTAAGAAGCACCTGGCTCATAGCTCCTGGCTCCTGGCTTCTGGCTTTGGCCTGACCCAGACTCATTTAGAGAGTGAACCATCAGATGGAAGATTTCTCTCTCTGTATTTCTGCCTTTCAAATAAATAAATCTTAAGAAGCAACAACAACAAGAACACAATGTAGAAAGACAAAGATAGGTGACACTGTTTAAAAAAAGTTTTAGTTCCCTTTTTCTTGGCTCAAGACAGAGGTAGTGAGCAACGATAAGTAAGGGTGGAAAGGATATGAACCACCAGAATGAGCTTTGAAGAATAAGCAGAGAATACTTTTTTCAAGTGGCCGTGGAGCATTCACAAATTTTATCACAACAAAATGCATAATAAATTTAAAAAATAAAAGCAGTATAGTCATCATTTATCTAATTAGAATTTGAAAACTTGGAAATGAATGAACTAAAACTTGACTTCCTGGAAATGTGGAAAACCTCTGGTAAAGGATTGTGAAGTCATGTGAAAATCCAAACAAAAGCTCTGCCACATTGGCTGTAATGTGTGTGGTACATGTCACCCAGTGCAATGTATAGGTCAGGTCGTGTGTGTGTGTGTGTGTGTGTGTGGGCTCACGTACTTAGGTGACTCTCTTTCTGAGAAAACGAAGGATGACTCAGTAACAGCCTTCAGGGATACCTAGGTTCCTTAAAAGAGAACATTGATTCATTTCTCCTCTTTCTTAAGAATGTGAGCGATGCTTTAAATAAACCAAGCCATTATTTTCACTGAAAGAGGGAAGCGTTTACAGTCATTAACTAGTGAGTGTTTTCAAACTTAAGACCTTCCAACAGGAGGAAATTGAATCCCAGAGATGCTGCCACGTCTCACCTCACCCAATTGCTCCCTGGGTCCAGGCTGCTTGCTTCCTTCTCCCTTTTTTAAAAGATGTTATTTAAGTTACACAAGTTTCATGTATTTCATATATACACATTTAGGAACAGAGTGGTACTTCCCACCCTACCCTCTCTCCCGCCACCCACACTCCAACCTTTTTTCCTCCTCCCTCTCCCATTCCCACTCTTAATTTTTACAAAGATCTATTTTTTTTTTTTTTTTTGGACAGGCAGAGTGGACAGTGAGAGAGAGAGAGGCAGAGAGAAAGGTCTTCCTTTTTTGCCGTTGGTTCACCCTCCAATGGCCGCCACGGCTGGCGCACTGCACTGATCCGATGGCAGGAGCCAGGTACTTCTCCTGGTCTCCCATGGGGTGCAGGGCCCAAGGACTTGGGCCATCCTCCACTGCACTCCCTGGCCACAGCAGAGAGCTGGCCTGGAAGAGGGGCAACCGGGACAGAATCTGGCGCCCCGACCGGGACTAGAACCTGGTGTGCCGGCGCCGCAAGGCGGAGGATTGGCCTAATGAGCCGCGGCACCAGCCCAAAGATCTATTTTCAGTTTACTTGATGTCCTTCCCTCTTTTTAAAAAATTGCTTATTTATTTATTTAAGAAGCATACAGAGTGAGAGCAAGAGCGAGAGCGAGAGTGAGAGACAGTGTTTCCTGTTTGTTTCTTCACTTCCCAAATGCCTGAAATGGCAAGGTGTGGCTGGGTAGAAGTCAGAAGCCAAGAACTCAATCCAGGTCTCTTACATGGATGGCAGGAACCCAACCACTTGAGACATCACCACTACATCCTAGGGTCTGCATTAGCAGGAAGTGGGAACCAGGAACCATAGTCATTCTAATGTGGGGTGCAGGTGTTCTAACCAGTTTCTTAAGTGCTAGGACAAACACCCAACCCTGTTTCCTTCCCTTCATTATCCATATGGTCTCCTCCTTAGTCCAGTTTGTGTAAGGTGCTGGTCTTCCCCACCAAGGGCCACAGGGCACAAGGAACAGAATGTCCTTAAAACAACAAGCCAAAGGGGTGAGTAGTGAGTGTGGGAAAGGAATTTTAGCTTGAAACATGCCCTTTGAATGAAGCATATTCTGACTTGATTTTTTTTTTCACAGACTCCCCTATCGACTCTTGGCATAGCACTGAAATTCCATAACTATTCAATAACCAAGAAGAATGTGAAAGGATGTGAACATGGATGGTGGGAAATTAATGAGCACATGTAAGTGATTCACATATGTGAGGAATCTGATGAAAACTTCACTGCTTTGATTTTTTTTTTGTCCCCCAAATGGTTTATACTTAATTATATACAGAGAGGGAAACTGAAGGACACAGGAGTTAGCAACTTGCTCAAGCACACTCAGCTCTTGTGTGACTGAGGAAGGATTCAAACCCATTTTTAGGGCACCTACTCCACTGCTGTGTGCTGCAGGGCTATTGATGTGTATAACTGAGACTCTACAAAAGTAATTGGCATCAAGAGTTTCCAGATCTCAGAGCCATGGGGAAAAAGAATAAATAGGGGTCTGTGGGTACCAAAGTTAGAAGCCGATTCTTTGCAGTAGGAGATGCTGGGTTGGCTAGGCTGGGTCCTAAGGCTTTGGAGTGAGTGAAGCTAATCAGAAAGAAAGCCAGAGAAATCTAGGTGCTTGGGTTTCCTGAGCCAATCTAGTAGGTCTTCACTCTTAATTTTTTTCTTAGTTGTTGCTCATTTGCTTCTAAAGCTCCAATAGACATCCAACTGAATTAAAAGATACAGGAGGACCCATTGTCATGGCAGCAGAACAGCTTCCCAGTTAAGTTTCAGAAAGAATTCTATGGGGTTAAAGACCTGGGCCACCATGCACTGTGACTCCCTAGAAGGAAGCTTCCCTTACTAAGTATTCTTCCTCAACAACCTGCTTCCAGTTCCCTTAGAAAGATGAGTGGCAAAATAATCACTGGTCTCGTCTTTGTTGGAATACGATCCAACACATTGAAAGGTATTCTTGGATCCATTATTAAAATGTAGCCTGTAGTCCATTAGGGAGTGTAATTGAATCAAGGGTCTATTATATGAAAGTCAAAAGACCTGGGTTCAAATTCTAGCCATGTTATTTAGTAGCTATTTTAAGTAGGACACATTATTTAGCTTCTTTGATGTTTAGTCTTTATTTAAAATTATTTTTTCAAATTTAATTAGTTTATTTCTTTGAAAAGCAGTCTGCCAAGAGAGAAAGGGAAAAACAGAAAGAGGGTGGAGAGGAGGAGGAGGAGGAGGTGGAGGAGGAGGAGGGGAGGGGGGAGGAGCCAAGAACCCCTTATGTGGGTAGTGGAGCCCTTTTTCTAGCCTCTGCTGCCTCCCAGGTGCATTGGCAAGGAGCTGAATCAGAAGTGGAATAGCCTGTACTGAAACCAGCACTCCTATATAGTAGGTGGGCATCCCAAGTGGTGGCTTAACCTTCTGCTCCGCAACACTGGCCTGTTTTTTTTTTTCATTTAAAACTTATTTATATATTTATTTGCTTGAAAGTCAGACAACAGTGAGAGAAATGCAGAGAGAGAGAGAGAGAGAGAGAGAGAGAGAGAGAAAGAATCTTCCTTCCACTGATTCACCCCCTAAATGCCCACAACAGCAGGGGTGAGTCAGGCAGAAGCATAAAGCCAGGAACTCCATCCAGGTCCCCAGGCATTTGAGTCACCATCTACTGCCTCCCAGGGTACACGTTAGCAGGAAGCTGGGTCAAAAGTGGAAATAGTACTTGAACTCAAGCACTTGGATAAGGGATGTGGGTGTCCTAAGTGGAGAGGCTTAAACCACTGCACCACAAACCCCCAACTTCACTGTGATTTTCAATCTTATAAAAGAAGCAGCAATTCCTATGTAACAAGAGCTTTTTGTTATTATTTATTTTGTTAGCATTCAATGAAATTATGTATACTACACATCAAAAATATTAGTTGTTATTAACATGAATAATGACGTTGCTTTGGGGATGATGTCAGTTGCATAAAGAGGACAGAATACACCCCAGGCTCTCATGATACTGCATTTTGGTATCCAATTAAAACAGAGATCCAGCAAACAAGCCTTTACAAATACTTTGTGAAATTGTCAGACTATGATAGAGCCACACTTTGAAAATGGGATCCAGGTTTGGCGTCGTGGCCTAGCTGGTAAAAGCTGCCACCTGTGACACAGGCATCCTGTGTGGGTGCTGGTTCATGTCCCAGCTGCACCACTTCCAATCCATATCCCTGCTAATGGTCTGGGAAACAGTGGAGGATGGCCTAAGTGCTTTAGCTTCTGCACCCACATGGGAGACCTGGAAGAAGCTCTTGGCTCCTGGCTTCAGCCCAGCCCAGCCCAGACTCTTGTCATTGAGGTCATTTGGGGAGTGAACCAGAGGATGGAAGATCTGTTTCTCTGTGTCTCCCTCTCTGTAACTCTGCCTTTCAAATGGATAGATAAACCTTAGAAAGAAAGAAAGAAAGAAAGAAAGAAAGAAAGAAAGAAAGAAAGAAAGAAAGAGAAAGAAAGAAAGAGAAAGAAAGAAAGAAAGAGAAAGAAAGAAAGAAAGAAAGAAAGAAAGAAAGAAAGAAAGAAAGAAAGAAAGAAAGAAAGAAAGAAAGAAAGAAAGAAAGAAAGAAAGAAAACGGGATGTTATTTTCCCCCTAATTAACAAAAACAGCAGTCTAGGGTGCAATGTAGGAGTAGTGGCTCCTCCAAGCAATACTAGGAAAGCTCTCTAAACACTTTCCCTGAAGGGCAAGTTCAAGTAGTCTGGAGGGGTGGCTGAACTCCTCTAATTCCTTCAGGCTGATGGTACTCTCAAGATTTAAAAGGCCAACCTTTCCTTCTTATCAGTCTCTTTCATCTGAAAAGGAAAAGACTAATTGAACTAATCAGACACCTTGCTGAGAAGTTAGCCTAAGGGAATGGTGCTTTAATGGGGGAGGAGGGAAAGTAATGCTGAGTGGAGGAGGCCTAACGCTCAAGTCTTTCAGCGAATTAGGGCTGTGGGGAGCTACAATGGCCTGTGTGGGCCTTGCAGGGGTGAAGAGCCTTCCTATAAATCTTCAGCAAAGCAAAGCTCCTGAGAGGAAAGCCTTTTGCTTTGTAGAAAGTACAACAGTTTAGCATCAGGCTAATTTGTGTCCATATGTGATTTGCTCGCTTGCTATTTGGACATCAGCAAGTCACTTCTTTATGGCTCCCTCTTCCTTCCTTGCCCTAGGTATCCATGTAAACTGATTCTTGCTGGGTTTCCCCAATCTCACAACTTAAACTTTGACTCCATAGCCACTATCATGCCTCTTTGAATACTATCTTTTATTTATTTCTATTTTTAAAAAGATTTATTTTATTTATTTGAAAGACAGTTACAGAGAGAGGTAGAGACAGAGAGAGAGGTCTTCCATCCTCTAGTTCACTCCCTAGATGGCCGCAATGGCCAGAGTTGTGCCCATCTGAAGCCAGGAGCTTCCTCCGGGTCTCCCACACGGGTGCAGGGGCCCAAGGATTTGGGCCATCTTCTACTGCTTTCCCAGACCATAGCAGAGAGTTGGATGTGAAGAGGAGTAGCTGGAACTAGAATCAGCGCCCATATAGGATGCCGGCACTTCAGGCCAGGGCATTAACCCACTGCACCACAGCGCAGGCCCCATGCATACTATCTTTTAGACCTAGGCCAAGTACAGGTGCAAAAGATCCTTTCCTGCTTGATTCCCCCTTAATTCTCCCAAGTGAGGCTCTTCCTAGCAATAAAGCTCCAAATCTTAAAGGATTGAGTGATGATAATTATTTTAAAATACAGATGACATAATGATGTTTTCAGAGTAGGATTCTGATCTCAAGATGACCAACCACAGCAGACTCTGGCCCTGAATCCTGGCTTGCCTTTCAGGTGCCTCTCACTCAGGCCCTGGCTCCCACCTGGCCAAGTGACCACCCACAGCTGCTCTCTCTTCATTGCATCCCAGGGGCTGTTGTATCAGCCCATCTGTTCCTGAACTTCAGCCAACTGCAACAGACTTTCTGAATAGCACCGGAATGACTTCCTCTTTCAAGCCTTGACATCTAGATGATCTGTGTACCCCAAGGCTGGTGTCTGAGCCAATGGAACTTGAGTACTTTGGGGGCCTGGAGTGATTGGCATTCATAGGTTCCAGCAGGAGATGTCTCCCTCGAGCCTTGCAGCTGCTCTCTGACTTCTGGAAAGACCTCAGTATTTTCACCCTGGGAAGCTTATCGTGGGCCTGCAGTGTAATACTCCATGTTGCAGTACCCACGGTGCTCATGTAGTAAGAATGAACAGAAGGGGCAGTTTCTCAAGAGAACACTGGGCATCTGGGGTAGGGGGCTTTTAGGTGACAAGAGGGAAGAAAAAAGTCCAGGTAGTGAAATATTGTAAGCAGGTATTATTTTGAAATTTTGCCAAGGACAAGCCCTGAAGTGTGCACTGGATTCCAAATTAGATTGTTATCCTTTGCGTTCTATGTTGCTGGAATTCTTTGCATATTTTCAACCTGAGTTCACAGGATTCCACTGTGTTCTGTAGAGAGGTTGGTTTGTGGGCAGAAGCAGGCAATTTTTATTGTTACACTTTTTTTACACCAAAAAAGGAGAGAAGAATGGGAGGATTAAATCTGTATTCCTTTGGATCCTACCTGCAGGCTAGGAGAGCAACAGGTGGATGGCACTATTATTATTCTAATCAGCAGAGGAGCAAATTGAATGGATAACAGCCAATAATAAGCATCTGTGCTTGTAAAAACCCAAATGACCAGAGGGAGTGAGGTCGATGTCCACAGCAATGCCACTGACAATCTGTGTGTCCCCGACTCTTGTCTCTGCAGGTACTGTGGCTCCTACATGGATCACCAGACGATTTTCCGAGTGCCCAGCCCTCTGGTGCACATTCAGCTCCAGGGCAGCTCAAGGCTTTCAGACAAGCCACTTTTGGTAGAATATGGCAGTTACAACATCAGTCAACGTAAGCTTGGAATCAGCTCCTTTGAAAGCCTTAATATATTGTTAAATGGAGACTAACACTCTATAACTCAAACTTTGAGGATGGGATTGAACACTGCTTGATTTCTGCTATTTCATTGTATATATTTACTTTTATAATAAATTATTATGAGGGAGTTTCATATGGAAAATACATATCATGGAAAAAGTATGCATTGATTTCAAAAAAATTTTTGCACCAAAATATATTTCTTTTCAGTTGACTTATCCATGAACTTTCTGAAGCTCCCTTGTATAGATAATAAATACATAATACAAATAAAATAAGTGATACATAAAATTATATATTTATTGCTATATTTTAAGTTAAAAGAAATAATAACTTTTTGATATCACTGATTTATAGTTGAAAACTAATTTTTCACATCATTCTTAAAATATAGGAAGAGCTCAAGTCTTGGTTTGTTGTTCTTCATGCTAACCATCGCTCTTTGTAAATATTATGTTTATGCCAACAGATAGTAGCTCCAAGGCCAACACTTGTGACTGTGGCCTGTGAACCATGGAGAGAGTTGATTGATCAAAAGAGTTCAAATGTTAGCCCTCAGAATTTTGAACTTGAAATCCATACTGAAAATTGCTAGATTAGTAGCCAGGAAATGGTCAGCAGAAGGGAAATCATTAGCACTGGAGAGAGTAGATAATGACTTGCTGGGAAAATTCTATATTGGCTTTAACTTAAAAAATTATTTTTGAGAGGAGAGAGAGTATGAGAGAGAGCGAACGAGCAAGGAACTGGTTCACTTCCCAAATTCAAGCAGGACTCTGAAGCTAGAAGCTGAAATGCAATCCAAATCTCCCATGTGAGTGGCAGGAGAACAATTACTGTAGCCATCATGACTGCCTGGAAAGGTCTAAATTAGCAGGAAGCTGGAGTCAGGAGCTGGAGGTGGGCACTGAGCCCAGGTACTCTGATGCGGGACACTTGTGTCTTAACTGGTGTCTCAACTGCTGGACAAAACACCTGCCTTCACCTTACTCTTTTTTTCTATCCATGTTGCCTTTCCAGTGGCTCATCCACTGCATCATGTGCCACTGAGACGGTGGTTGGTCTGATAATGCACTCCCCCCATTATTTTGCACAGAGGAGGAAGAATTTATTATTTTTAAGATTTATTTATTTATTCGAAAGTCAGAGTTACAAAGAGAGAGAGAAGGAGAGGCAGAGAGACAGATCTTCTATCCTCTGGTTCAATCCCCAAATGGCCACAATGGTTGGAGCTGAGCCTATCCGAAGCCAGGAGCTAGGAGCTTCTTCTGGATCTACCACATGGTTACAGAGGCCCAAGAACTTGGGCCATCCTCTGCTGCTTTCCCAGGCACATTAACAGGGAGCTGGATCGGAAGTGGAGCAGCCAGGACTCCAACCAGTGGCCATATGGGATTCTGGCAGTGCAGATAGTGGCTTAACCCACTGTGCTGCAGTGTCAGCCCCTATTTTTTATTTGAAAGTCAGAGTTACAGAGAGAGAGAGAGATCATCCATCTTCTGGTTTACTCACCAGATGTCTACAACTGCCAGCGCTGAGCCAGGTTAAAGCCAGTAGCTTCATCTGGGTCTCCCATGTGGTTGGCAGGGATCCAAACACTTGGGCCATCTGCTGCTTTTCCCAGGCCATTAGCAGAGAGTTGGATCAGAAGTGGAGCAGCCAGGACACAAACTGGCACCCACAGGGGATGCAGGCACTGCAGACAGCAACTTTACCCTCTGTGCCACAACGTCAGCCCCAGGATTTATTATTGCTATAATATTTAGCTGTAAGCCCAAGATTAATGATTCAAGTCTAGGCAGGGAAAGGATCTTTGATGAGCAACTTGGCTGAAGTGGACAGGATGATGGCCAGAGAGGTAGGAGGCAGGAATCTTGGGTTTTGAGACCAGTCACTAATCCCCCTCTTTTCCACTTGGTAGGATCAGAATTTTGGAAGAGGGATCACTTGGAAATGTGATCAAAGATGCATACAATTGTGCATCTGATCACAGTGGATTCAGAAATACCAGGAACCCTTTTATAATTCCCCAGGGAGCGTAAAGACCATCCCACCTCCCCTCCATATTAAGAACCTTTGGACTCTTAGGTTTCTCGCCGCTTTCACATTCTGCCAGTCCGTGCTAATGCCATAGAGCTGAGCCAAGGCTGTGGAGGCAGAACTCCAATTGTGCACATGAGCTGGATGTAATGCTCACTCAGAGCTTTTGTTGAGTTAATTTGCTTTTATTCTTGCTCTTTTAAGTTCTTTAGCTCCCTAGAGCCTTGATTGGATGGATAAATGATATAATTACTGCTGCTACCTTGCCAACTTCCTAAGCACTTAACACTTTCCATTTCTTTGCTAATGTGAGCTGGTGATTTTTAGGGACCACCCCAAGATTTTCTCTTTTTTGTTGTCTGTAGCCTGTCCTGTTGGATCTTTTAGATGCTCCTCCGGTTTGTGTGTCACTCAGGCCCAGCGCTGTGATGGAGTAAATGACTGCTTTGATGAAAGTGATGAACTTTTCTGTGGTAGGTATTCAAGCTTTTAAAATGACTTTCTTGTGAATAAGTACCTTCTCACGACCCTGGTTGCTGCTGGTGTGTATCCTTAGTTGTGGTAGTTGCTCTCTATTGCTGCATAACAAACTACCCTAAAGCCCAGTGGCTTAAAAACAATCATTTATTTTCCATCATGCATTCTTGGGTTGTCTGGTATCTGACTGACCTAGATTGAGCTCATCTGGGTGGCTCTGCTTCCAACACTGTGTCCTCCTTACCTTGGTTCTTCCCAGGTTGGGGTCAGGCCTACTCTCTGTGGCACTTTTCTCCATTAAACCAGTGGGCTAGTCATGACAGTGAAGAAGCAAAGGAGGGGTGGGCAGAAACCCCAGGTCCTTAAGAACTGGACATGGAATTGGCACACTATCCTTGCAAGATATAGCTTAGTTGAGGTCAAAGTCAAGGAGCAGGGAAATTTACTCTGTATACCTTGGAGCCACGGCAAGAGCTGGATGCATCATAGTACCCTAGGGAGTGTAGATCTGTGACTAAGAACTTAATCCACCACTGACTTAAACAAAGCAGTCCTGTTTGGAAGTGCAGATCCTCAGTACAGAGAGAAAGTCAGAATTTGCAAAGCAGCAGACTCCTTCGGCCTGTTTATGGAGCACAGGTGTTTGTAAATTAGAGGTTTCCTCTGTGTGTGTGTGTGTGTGTGTGTGTGTTTAACCTGTACAGTTTGCATTGACATCTCATAGGTAATGACTAAGGGGTGGTACACTGGATATTTCTATTTTGTGGAAGAATCTGTTTTGATTTTTTCATTGCTATTTTCCCCTCATTCCTGAATCTATCTCCAGTTGTAGGAAGTAATGTGGGGAGAACAATTCATTAGATAAAGTGAAATCATTGGCAACACTTCCTCCTTTCTCCTAAGATCCAGAAGGTTTAATTCACATACAATTGCAATGGTGTTGTTATTTGTCTTTTTCATACCCTTGAAGAAATAATTCAGTTAATATAGCTAAGTGTAAAAATACTGTATTCATTAAATAAACTGTAGTTCTATAGCTTCTTTTATTGACAAAACAAAACTTTCTTAGTTTATAGTCTATTGATCATTTAAATCTATAGTCTTTTATTTGTTAAGAAAATAAATACTGTTGCTGGAGCTATGGTGGAGCGAGTTAAGTCACTATCTGCACTGCTGGCATACCTTATGGACATCTGTTTGAATCCCTGCTGCTTCACTTCTGATCCAGCTCCCTGCTAGTGCACCTGGGAAAGCAGCAGAGGATGGCCCCAGACCTTGGGCCCCTGCACCCATGTGGGAGACCTGGAATAAGCTCCTGGCTCCTGGCTTTGGATCAGCTCAGCTCCAGCCATTGTGGCCATTTGGGGAGTGAAACTGTGGATGGAAGACCACTCTCTCTCTCTGTGTCTGCCTCTCTCTCTGTAACTCTGTCTTCAAAATAAATCTAAAAAAAAAGAGAGAAAATAAAAGAAATACTGACCATTCCATAGTGACTAAAGGGTTTTTTAAAAAAAATTTTTTTTACTTATTTATTTGAGAGGTAGAGTTACAGATAGAGAAAGGCAATGACAGAGAGACAGGTGTATCCACTGGTTCACTCCACAAATGGCTGCAATGGCTGGAGCTGGGCCCATCTGAAGGCAGGAGCCAGGAGCTTCTTCTGGGTCTCCCATGTAGGTGCAGGGACCCAAGCACTTGGGCCATTTTCCACTGCTTTCCCATGCCATAGCAGAGAGCTGGATTGGAAGAGCTGCAGCTGGGACTTGAACCAGCACCCATATGGGATACTGGCACTGCAGGCAGAGGCTTAGCCCACTACGCTGCAAGCGGCAGCCCTTGTTTTTGTTTTTTATTTTCTCTGCTCTGATGTTTCAGATACAAGTGATTGCTATTGCTTTATCATAAGGACTACTTTTGGTCATTGTTATTTCTCACTGTGCCATTTAGTGAGCATCTACTATTTGATAAGGGTTTGAGATAAGAGATGAATCACACAAAATCCCCAATCTCAAGACACTCCCACTCTGTTGAGGAAGATAGACAAGTTCAATTTAGAAAACAGCTCATGATTTTAAAGAAAATAAATAACTTATGCATTTTAAGACTTATTTATGTATTTGAAAGAGTTACAGAGAGAAAGGGAGAGGCAGAGAGATATCTTGCATCCTCTGGTTTACTCCCCAGATGGCTGCAATAGCTGGGGCTGGGCCAGGCTGAAGCAGGAGCCAACAGCTTCTTCCAGGTCTCCCACATGGATGCAGGCACCCAAGCACTTTCCCAGGCCATTAGCAGGGAGCTGGATCAGAAGTGGAGTATCCAGGACTTGAATTGACTCCCATATGGGATGCTGGCATCACAGGCAGCAACTTTACTGGCTACATCACAACACCTGCCCCTGTGCATTTAATTGTAATTAAATAAACACATCATCAGAGTTTACCACATTTACCCAAAAGCAAAACCAGGTCTGAAAAACTCAAGTGCTAGGAATTACACTAAAGTTTAAACATCTGCTTTTATTCAGGGGAGTGTCAATTTAGGTGAAAACTATCTTTTATTTCTTTTAATTTAAGTCAACTTAATGAGCTGTACCTTTGAGTTGCGCTGCTGTTCATCAGAGAATCCAGCTGCTGGATGTCTCTGACTCATGACCTTTCTGTTTTTTCTCATTCTAGTGGCCCTTAGTGCTACCTGCAATGCCAGCTTCTCCAGACAGCATGGCCCTTTGGTCTGCGATGGCTTCAGGGACTGTGACAATGGCCAGGATGAGCAGAACTGCACTCAGAGTGAGGAGGGATTGAGCTTTTCCTAAACCAGAATCAAAAGACTTTCACTGGGTTAGGGCAATCAACTTGTCCAGTTTTCCTAGAACTTTCCCTGTTTTAGCACTAGAAGCCCCTAGTCCCAAGAACTCCCCCAGTCTCGGACAAAATGGGACAGTTGGTTGCTCTAACAGGGGTTCAGTAGTGTGTGTGTACATTCCTGTGTGAATAGGGCAGATTTTCACTGTGCACATTCTTTTAATGCTACTCAAAGTTGTAAGTACTGAGGACCTGATAAAAAGGAATTTTCCCGATTCCATAACACACTGTATACTAAATCCTGCAGAGACACAAACCCTGGGGCTGTGAACAAATGTGCTCTAATTCACAAGGTCTGTGCAGTTGTCTTTTCCCTAATGATATAAAGTGACTGAATGTGGTAGTGCTGTTTGCTGAAAACTTTTCTTGGATAACAAGACCAAGTAATAGCAAAGCAGAAATGGCCCAACTTTTTCGACCTTTACCCACGGTGAAAGGAAGGAGAGACAATCACTTGGTTTTCATCAGATGTGCCACCGGGCTTGCTGTTCAATGGTTCAGCTCAGGTGATTGGACAGCTTGCTGTAGGGTTGCATCGTTTCTCTGCTGTTTATAGCAAATAGCAACCCCATGGATAAACTGTCCTTTGCAAATTCAATGTCATTCAATGTTGAGAAAAACTGTTTCGTTTCTCTTTGTTCATTTTTAGGCATTCCATGCAATAACAGAACGTTTAAGTGTGGCAACGATATTTGCTTTAGGAAACAGAATGCAAAATGTGATGGGACAGTGGACTGTCCAGATGGAAGTGATGAAGAAGGCTGTAGTGAGTGGCAGTTTACTCCTTCTGTTTCCTGTATTCCCGTCTTCAGTCTACCCATCTTCTATTTTTGATGTTCACTTATCTATTTAAAAGGCAGAGTGACAGAGAGAGGAAGAAGGGAAGAGCCCGAGAGCCTGAGAGAGGGGGGTGGGGAGTTTCATCTGCTGATTCACTCCCCAAATACTGACAACAGCCAGGGCTGGGCAGGCTGAAGCCAGGAGCTTGGGACTGCATGTAGATTTCCTATGTGGGTAGCAGGGGCTTAAGTACTTAAGCCATCATCTGCTGCCTCCTGAGCACATTAGCACGAAGTTGGATTGGAAGTAGTGTAGCTAGGACTTGACCCAGAGCCCTGATATGGTGGCTGATATGGAGGCTGAATCCTTGAATTCTCTGCGTGGTGGTACCCACTCCCCCTTCTAGTTTCATTCCCTTCTGGGTACAATTGCTCTGGCAGAGTTTCCCACAGAGACAGGGAAGAACAGTAAGTGTTGTTGAACTGAATATGAAATTGTTTCTCAGAAATAAAAACTTTGGAGTTTTATTGTTTTTTTTCATGATAACAAACATTAATGCCCTAGATGTTTATAATGAGAACTTCTAGTTCCTAATGATACTAACCAAGGGAGAAGTCCCTGCTGTTGCAGGCATTTGGGGAATGAACCAGCAGATGGGATCTCTCTTTTTCTTTCTCTCTTTGCCTCTTAAATAAATGAATAAAAGGTCTTAAATTAAAAACAAAAACTGGTGACAAACAGATACTAGAACTTAGTGGGTGACATTAATTATGCCCAATGTTATAAACAATATTGAGTGATGGTTCTTTTTTCAGCTAAGACCCAGTAGCTGTAATTTACCATATATTCTTATGGGTCATGTGGCTTCTAACTGGCCAAGTAGCAAGGTGTTGATAATATATCTTATCAGTACTGCTTATACTGGAAAATAACTGCCCTGAAGACTCATTTTTCTTAGTAGGTTTTAATTGGCTTTAGACTTATAAATGGTCTCCCGAACACTCTTTCTCAGATCAGCACAACTTCAAAGATCTACTCAATTCCACAACATACAGTTTCTCTTTTTCCCTCTCTGTAGCAATCTAACTCTGAGGGCTGTTCAGGGACACCTCTTCCCATGTGCCCTGTGCCCCTTCACATGCATTATCATATGGGGAGAGCCTGTGGCAGTGCAGGTTTCAGGTAGGAGGGAGTGGCCTGTAGGTGCTGATTTCAGACAGATCCACATACCCACAACCCTCTAGATAAGCAGGGAATTTCAAATCGCTTACCTGGTGAGTCGGTTCCCATCCCAGCACCCAGCCTGACTTAAGTTCAAGTTTTTCTTCCCAGTCTGCCTTTAAATCACGTGACCTTTCCTCTTCTAAAGGCTGCAGCAGGGGCTCTTCCTCCCTCCACCGCATCGTTGGGGGCACGGACACCCTGGAGGGAGGTTGGCCATGGCAAGTCAGCCTCCACTTTGTCGGATCTGCCTACTGTGGTGCCTCGGTCATCTCCAGGGAGTGGCTTCTCTCTGCAGCCCACTGTTTCCATGGAAACAGGTAGGGCATCTCAATTCTTAGTCTCAGGTGGACTCTGACTGCAGATCATCTGTCTCTCCTCAAGCTGTAGGAGGAGGACTGTTGGAGATAGTCAATTCAGTTGTTCTGATTTAGTTTAGTTTTTTTTTTTTCCACACAAGTTCATACAAAAAAAAAAAAAACTTTTTTTCCCCCTTTGATGGTACAGGGAGGGGGATTAGGTATTTTTGATAGAAAAAGAAAAGAACTTAAAGAAAACATTAAGAATGAATAGGTTTTTACTAGGCTGAGAAAACAAGATAAGGCTTAAAAATCAGAGGGATTGACCTATGGAACTGTGCGGAGTACATGAAGAAGAATAGGCCTTGGAAGTGGCTGGAACATGGGGATTCCTACTAGGATTAGGACCCGGGGAGGCCCATGAGGATTGGTACTGGAAGAACTCTGTGGTGCCAATTGTGGGACAGATGCTCTTCCAACTAGAATAGAAAATAAATAGAAAATAATCTCCCATAAAATTTATACATATCTGAAATCTACCGGATCTTAGATATGAAGCTAGTTTCATTCATTTCTCATTCTAAATTGTTTAAGTGGAGCATTTCAGAGAAGCTTTACAATTTGAGTATTTACTTTTCCTGGAAGTTACTTGATTCATGCTTGTTACTGATCATTTGTCTTCTGTGAAACTTCCCCAAATAATATGCTAACCTTAATACTCCCGTGGGTCTCCAGTGCCATGCAGGAGATGTCAGCTAGTTAGGTCCCTCTGTGGGCTGTGTCTATTTTTTTTAGAAAGTTTCCTTTCTCTCCATGCCCACCTTTCACCCCATTGCTACCCTGGTGGAGATGACAGCCTCACATGGTAGTGACAAAGCCCCTCCGTGACTTGCTCAGGGCCAGTGGGGTCAAGATTAGAATTCTGGAAGGAGTGACATGGAATGAAGGAAGTTTGGTGCCTCTACATAGGTGATCATACTTGAGCAATTCGAACAATTGTCTGTAAGGCTTCTGGAAGTTTATAAAAAGGAATTGCATGAAATTCCTGTTTGTAATAGTTTGATTTCTAATCTTTTTTTTAGTATTCAAATTTGGTGGAAGTGTTCCTAGACTACCACCTTACTGGCTGTCTTTGTCTCAAATGCCATTGTCAGCATAGGAAGAAAGTAACAAATTAAGTCTAGTTACCAACATTCTTGATGTGTATCTGGTTCATGGAACACCAGTGGCAAGAAAATTTCCAAGCATCTCCTTTGGATGTTGTTGAGGAATGTTCTGGAACATAGCTATAACTTGCCAATCCTGTTACAGCTTACTTCATCTTTGGTTTTACAAGGAACCAAGAGAGATTCAGAGAAGTTGTGCTTCTCGCTATGTTCCTTGGCAGAGCCCGTGGCTCAGATCAGGCCAGTGGAGGGCAGACCCTCCCCTTCTCAGCCCTCATCTTTAGGATGCATGTTGACAAATCATACATTGCTCTGCAAGCTACTAACTTTGTGCTTCATTGCTTTTCTACCAGGCTGTCGGACCCCACGCCGTGGACCGCTCACCTTGGGATGTATGTGCAGGGGAATGCCAAGTTTGTGTCCCCGGTGAGAAGAATTGTGGTCCATGAATACTATAACAGCCAGACATTTGACTATGACATTGCTTTGCTGCAGCTCAGTGTCGCCTGGCCTGAGACGCTGAAGCAGCTCATTCAGCCAATATGCATTCCTCCTGCCGGTCAGAAAGTGCGCAGCGGGGAGAAGTGTTGGGTGACTGGCTGGGGGAGAAGGCATGAAGCAGGTGAGTGTGTGAATGAGCAGTCATGCACTTCCCCCACTGAGGCTAGCAACGTGTGTGGTAGAGTGTTTGGGGTTCATAGAGAGGTTTGGTGCATATCGTCTCCTTTGATTCCCTGACCTTCCTGCATTGCTGGGCTGGAGGAGGGTGTTATTATCCCTGGTTTATGATGTTCTCCACTTGCTGTGAAAGAATCAGGGTCCACTTCAAAAAGGGGAAGAGGGATTTTGTGAGCAAAGCAAAACTGACTTGATAGTGTAGCCCTTTCCAGACTCTTAAGTGTTTATTAGGTCTTCCACTATAGAAGGGCAGTTCCCTTATTGTTAGATTCCCTTTTTATCCAAAGGAGTGATTCATTTTCAGAAAGGACAGAAGGACACACACACACACACACACACACAGCCTGTTGTATCAACTCGATAGCTATGTGAACGATATATTCTGTACTACTGGCCAGGAAATGAGAATGAGGGCTTAAATCTATCCTTGGCACCCCAAACTGCAAATTCAGCTGATACACTAGTCTGGAACTGCTCTACCCAGAAATGATGGGATCATCCTTTTTGATCTGTGCAAACAGGCTTATCATAGGGAAGTCCTTACACCCATCTGCCAAAGTTGTCCATGCTTCATGATTTATGGTTCATTCTGAGAATATGATGAGAGGGAGACTCCAAAGCTTTCTGAATGTCTTCCCCAAGATTAGAACCAATAATTTTCCCATGATCTCTCAATCATCTCCAATTCCATTGCAGTTCTTTCCGAGAGTTTAGGACAGAGGCAGTGTCTATACTATTTGATTCTTATCCTGCAGCCTCGTTGTTGACACTCTACAGAAGTTCACTGTGAGCAGCTTCTTGAAGCTCACTGCCCTCATTTAGTTATCACAGTGATAATGGCCACCACTAGTTTGGGCCTGCTGAGTTCTCAAGATCCCAAGAGAGGGCAGCTAACTGTGTGAACACTTGCAACCTTCCTAAGTTATTGTGCTCAGTGCTTTAATTACATTATCATATGTCACAACAGAAAAGAGTCTACCCAACCAACTTATCATAAATTTTCTTTATAAGCATGAGTGTATGTGTATATTTTTCTGTATCATCTTAGCCTAACAGGTTAAAAGTTAGTGAAAAGGACATAGCCAGACCATTACATTTATATGGTTCCTTGGAGACTTCCATATGTCAGTCATGCTGCTCCACTTAAGAAACTTTCCTGAACAGTAAATATTGGTACTAACTGTTATTGACTCCCAGTCCTACTGGAAGCATTAGGCACAGGGTGAAGAAGGATACTAAGGTGGCTCAGGTGATCAAGACAGACCTTGAGTCTGAATACTGCTGTGTGCCATTGAGCAAATCCTGTAGCCTCCTAAGCCTCCACTTCTTCATCAGTAAAATGGGGCTGATAGCAGAATTTCCCTCAAACAATTATTGTGAGGAGAAAAGGTGTTATAATGTGAGTTAATTGTTCAGATGGAGCCCTGAATGAGTCTAGTCATTGCCATTATCACACTTCAATGTGTTTTCCAGATAATAAAGGCCCCCCTGTTTTGCAGCAAGCAGAGGTGGAAATCATTGATCAAACCCTCTGTGTTTCCACCTATGGGATCATCACTTCACGGATGCTCTGTGCAGGTGTAATGTCAGGCAAGAGAGATGCCTGCAAAGTAAGTCATTTTACCTTCCCCTTGCCCAACAAGTTTTGTTATCTACTTAAGTGCCTTCCCATTTAATCTACAAACTAGGGCAGGTATTCCACTTAATTCACCTGCATTGCTTAGATATTAATTATAATCCAGTTGCCTAAGGTCAGGGAAAAGTGGTGAAAGAATTGGTTCTACAGAATGCAATTTTCTAGCAATCATCATTATATCATGATTTTCTTATAAGAAAAAAGTAAGAAAACAAAACCAAACAAAGGTACACACGTGCATACTGGATTTCAGAATTACTACCTATTTCCTCAACAGCAACCATTTAGATTCTGGAAATATTTAGTCACTCTGGAAAATAGGCTGGGGGAAAGGGAAGGCAAATGGGAATAGTGATTCATTTGTAGGCCCCTGGGAAGCCACTCTGACTGTGGTACATCTGGAGACCATGTTAGAGCAACATCTCATTAAGCCTGAGATTTCAGTCTCTGCAAGTATCATGACTTCGAGACTAAGGAGCACAGTGTGAGCTGTTCTCACATCCTTGTGCCATCTTAATCACAATGTCACAAAAACTCATCTTAGTCCAATAAGGACTTTGAGCTCCAGTTTTGGGGCAAGCACTGTGCCAGGTCCATGACACAAATTCTTTTATCCTCCATTTATAGAAGAGGAAACTGGGCCTAGAGGAGTACGTTACTCAAGATCATAGAGCTGGAAAGTGCAAATGTCTGAGCTAGGAGTTGAACCCTAGACTATTTAATGCTACAGCTAATGCACTTTGGGTGCTTCCTGAAACTGGTCAGTTACAGCCCTTTCCATCTGGCCACCAGGGTTTACACATTAGATTAGTATTAGTAGAGTTGGTGTGGCTATAATGAAAATGAAGCCCATTTTCCTAATAGAGTTTACCTGACCAGGTATAAAAGTGTGGAGGTGGGCTACCAGAGCCATCATGGAGTGCTTTCTTGTCGCTCCCCCTCTTCGTGGAGGAACGACACAGGACCCTGCGTTGTTCTTTCGTCTGCTCGGCCCTTCCCGGGTTGGCTACCGTCCCTTCCACCTCCGTGGAAGGGCGGTTCCCCCTAGCCACTTTCCCCACTTCCGCGGGGGAGCGGCACACCGCCGGCCGGCTCTCTCGGGTGCTGCACAGGTGTTCCTTCAGATAGATGTTCCCCATAGATGTTCCCGGTACATGCCGTCTCTCTCCTCCTTTATAGTCCTCCTCCGCCAATCCCAACTCGGCTGCCCACACGCCGAGTACGCTGCTCTCCAATCAGGAGCAAGTCCTACAGTTTATTGGTTGAACTGGAGGCAGCTGTGCGGAAGCTGTTTACTTCTCTCCCATCGCCATATTGTGGGAGAGCAGATGCATAGAATAAGTCTTAATTCCAGTAACTCAGTCTAGTCCGGTTTGCTCCCCACAGATCCCCCTTTCTTTTTATTTTTTGGCGTTGATACGCGCCTGTCTTCGGTGTCCCGCGGCACACACTCTGCTCTACTTGCTAGAGTTGCCACAGGCTCTTACAAGTCCTATCAATCAGGCAAACCGAATCCGGGTCCTCTCTTCGCCATGTTGTGAGGAGGTTTTTAGGCGCTGATGCGTGCCTGTGTTCGGTGCCCTGCAGCGCATGCTCTGGTCGAGCCTGCAGGGGCTTACAAGCCCTATCAGGCAAACCGAATCCAAGCCTTCTCATTGCCTTTTTGTGGGGAGGCCTTACTGATGTTAATTCGTGCCTGTCTTCGGTGACCTGCGGCGCATAAGCTGCTAGCCGCTGCAGGTGCTCATCGTGCTCATCGCCTCACTTAATCAGGCAGACCGAATCCAAGCTTTCTCATTGCCATGTTGAGGGGAGGCCTTTCTATTTCTCTATTTCTCTATCTCCGGGCATTCCTATTTCTCCCATTTTACTTCTATCTTCCAGCATTCCTATTTCTCTCATCTTACTTCTAAACTTCTGTTTCTCTTATCCCCGCAGCTTCCCGCTGCCCGCCCCGAGGCTACTTCTCGGCGGCTTCCCGGCTCTGAGCCGCTTCAGCCCGCGCCTCTCTCATCTGCGAGGCTTCGCGGCTCTGCGCGGCTCGGCTTTGCGCGCACACTCCGCGGTCTCCGCGCTAGCCCCGCGTTCCCTATGTACTTGAGCCCCGCACGCTCTGTCTGCGCGCGGCAGCCTCCGCGAGTAACACAGCGTAGCTTACGTGTCCACCACTAGCATTCAATCTAAGTTCCCCGGGCTAGCCTGGCGAATTCAACCCAGCTCACGTTTCCGCCCCACGATCTGGCTTCCCGTCCTTTGCTCCCCGGGCTAATCAGACGGATCCCAATCTGGCTTACGTTTCAGCTTCTGATTTCAACTTTTCGCCCCCTATTCCCGGGCTAACTTGAGAATCCCAAAGTGGCTTTCGTGTCCGCCTTGGCCTGCCCCCCGCGGCTTCAATTTCCCTAACATTTTTCTCCACCCGGCATGTCTCCCCAAGCCCTCCTCCAACAATACTCCTCCCTCAGTTCTCCTGGCCTCTCCCCACAGTCTGCATCCGAGTCTGTTTGTTCTAGCTTTCACTTTCGCTTTCGACCTTAGAGCTTTCTCCCAGCTTCCCCCCGTAGTCCGTATCCGAGTCTATGCCTAGGCTTTCAATAGCTCCTTCCGGCTCCTTTTTCGTCCGGCTTTTCCCTAGGCTGTTTGCTAGCCTCTCTCTCCGGTAATTTCCCACTTCTTCCCATTTCTTCCCTCCTAAGTTTGCTAATCCGTCCTAGGTTTCCTATCCGAGTCACGGCACCATTATGTCGCTCCCCCTCTTCGTGGAGGAACGACACAGGACCCTGCGTTGTTCTTTCGTCTGCTCGGCCCTTCCCGGGTTTGCTGCTGGTTCTTCCCGGGTTGGCTACCGTCCCTTCCACCTCCGTGGAAGGGCGGTTCCCCCTAGCCACTTTCCCCACTTCTGTGGGGGAGCGGCACACCGCCGGCCGGCTCTCTCGGGTGCTGCACAGGTGTTCCTTCAGATAGATGTTCCCCATAGATGTTCCCGGTACATGCCGTCTCTCTCCTCCTTTATAGTCCTCCTCCGCCAATCCCAACTCGGCTGCCCACACGCCGAGTACGCTGCTCTCCAATCAGGAGCAAGTCCTACAGTTTATTGGTTGAACTGGAGGCAGCTGTGCGGAAGCTGTTTACTTCTCTCCCATCGCCATATTGTGGGAGAGCAGATGCATAGAATAAGTCTTAATTCCAGTAACTCAGTCTAGTCCGGTTTGCTCCCCACACTTTCTTATTTTTGTCTTTAAGCAAATTACAACTTTATTTTCCCTCGGAGTCAGAAAATAAAATCCAGACATTGTAATTTAAAGAGTGAACTCATACTTAAGATTATTTGAGTCTTTGCCTTGTGAAACTGAGATAGCAGAAGGGTCTCTCAAGTGAGGATGATTTGTTTGTGCCAATTCTCTGCCAGAGGTCCCTAGGATTGCTTCACTCTCTCTCTGTAATTAAACTGAACCTCTTCTTTCTTTGGAACCATGAGTCAATAGTTGAAGTTGCATGGTCAAAGACAGAAGTCAATCTTCCAAAGTAATCATACTGTCTAAGGTTGTTGTCATGATTAAATGATCCCAAATAGTATTTAGCACATACCTAGCACTAAATGATTATTAGTCCTTATTATTTCTATTTGCACTGCTACTGACATTATTCTTTGTGTAGGGGGCATGTGAGAGTTGTTTTCTTCTGCATGAAGCTTCTATTGTTATGTTTAGCCTAAAGAATCAAATGTCTTAGAATGGATTGTGATTTTTGATTATAGGAAGGATAATTCTAAAATGACACCAGTAGTTTTACATTATTTCTTGATACTTCCAAACGACATAGTAATTAGCCAAGCAAAAACATGTTAGGGTGGAACTTCTTTTTTTTTTTTTTTTTTTTAACAGGCAGAGTGGACAGTGAGAGAGAGAGACAGAGAGAAAGGTCTTCCTTTGCCGTTGGTTCACCCTCCAATGGCTGCTGCGGCCAGCGCACCGCGCTGATCCAATGGTAGGAGCCAGGTACTTATCCTGGTCTCCCATGGGGTGCAGGGCCCAAGGACTTGGGCCATCCTCCACTGTACTTCCTGGCCACAGCAGAGAGCTGGCCTGGAAGAGGGGCAACCGGGACAGAATCCGGTGCCCTGACCGGGACTAGAACCTGGTGTGCTGGCGCCGCAAGGTGGAGGATTAACCTAGTGAGCCGAGGCGCCGGCCAGGGTGGAACTTTCAGCCATGGTCCATTAGACACATTCATGATGAACTTGATGATCATGGACAAATGCACTTGGTACACGCATGATCTTTCTTGTAGGGAGATTCCGGTGGACCTTTATCTTGCCGAAGAAAAAGTGATGGAAGATGGATTTTGACTGGCATTGTTAGCTGGGGATATGGATGTGGAAGACCAAATTTTCCTGGTGTTTACACAAGGGTGTCAAACTTTGTTTCCTGGATTCATAAATACGTCCCTTCTCTTTTGTAATTGTATCAGTTGGATTTTCAACTGTGATTTATGTGTTAGATCCCTTTAAAAGGATGCAATAATTACCAACAGAATGGGTCAACTAGAAATGTCAGGTTGTACACACTTGACATTTATTGAAAGACAGATGAGTATGTATTCTATACAAAATTTCCTCAAAGATATCGCTATATTCATTTCCACGCATCAGAAAGGCCATTATTCAGGGATGGAAAAAATCTAAATAAATCTCATGAACCAAGACCCTAAAATAAAATAAGAAATGAAAGAAATGTCCAGGTATCCTTTCTTTTGTTAATGTTCCAATTTGAGGTGCATATATTTATAAAGCTTTAGGCAAATTTAACTGATGGAAATGAAAAATTGAAAAAACCTGACCTTTGGCATTACCATACAATTAAAGGAACAAGCATGTCTCATTCACACATAGAAATAAAGCAAAACTCAGTTGTTGACAGACAAAGTCAACCTGTATTTTTGCTTTCTAATCCAATTTGTTCTGACCATGCCATACAGGACCTTCACACAGTAATGCTGCATACAAGGAAACCAATAAACAAACACAATTGATAGTAATGTTCATTAAAATAATAGAATGAAGCATTGTGGTAGTTGGATGGGAAGTATATACAAGAATATACAATTCAAGAAATGTTGGTAATGCTGATCAATATGAAAAGGCAAAGGATCTTTTGGATAATTCTCATGAATGAGAAAATTTTCAGAAATGTTCTGTGGCTTCAGTTCTTTTATAAAACCATAATGCCAAGACTTTTGTTTACTAATTTATTTTTGGGTAGGGTGACAGAAAGGGAGGGAGGGAGGGAGGGAGAGGGACAGAGAGAGAGAGAGAGAAAGAGAAAGAAAGAGAAAGAAAGAGAGAGAGAGAGAGAGAGAGAGAGAGAGAGAGAGAGAAAGTGATCTTCCATTTGTGGTTCATTCCCTAAATGCTGAATCCTCAAATGCTTGCAACAGCCACAGCTGGGACAGGGTTAAAGCAGGAGCCAAGAACTCCACCTGCATCTCTCAACTGAGTGGCAGGAACCCAAGTACTTGGGCCATCACCTGCGGTCTCCTAGGGTGTGTATTGGCAAGAAGCTGGATCAGAAGGTGGAGGTGGCACCTGACCTCAGGCACCCAATAATGGGATGTGGGCATCCCAATCAGTGGCTTACTCCACTGTGCCATAGCACCTGTCCCTAGACTTTCTTTTATTTTCAGGGCCTTAAAATACCTTGTATGGTTGTAAACCTATAATGAACTGTGAATATATTATAGCTCTTGATTTAGAGGGTTTTGTACCTGTTCTTAGAATATCTTTTCATTAACAGAGACCAGAATTAACCATATCACCAAACAGGCGAAAATAGTAGGAGGGAATATATTTGTTTTTGTGAGACAAAGTCAAAGGAGTAATCACAATCCTGCTATTAAGTAGGGTCTAGAACCTTGCATAGAACTTGCAAGATTTTTTGCAATAGCAAAAAAAGAGAGAACAAAATGTGTCATCTCTCAGATCAAATAAAAAGATTGAAATATGGACATGATTTTCCTGTTGTGTAATAATGAATATTTTCCTATTTGCAGAAGGTGTTTTGATTTGCAAAAAGACTTTCTGGGGCTGGAGTGACTGCATTGCAGTTTAATAGAATTTGTTTAATTCTATTAAATTAAGCTGCTGTTTGTGACTCCCACATCTCATTTCAGAGTGCCTGTTTGGGTCCCGATTACTCCACTTGTGAGCCAGATTCCTGTGCAGACGGCCTGGGAGGCAGCAGATGATAACTCATATGCTTGAGCCTCTGGCACTCATGTGTGAGATCCAGATGGAGCTCCTGGCTCCTGGCTTTGGCCTGGCCCAGGCCTGTCTGTTGCAGGCATTTGGGGAGTGAACAAGTGGATGGAAGATACGTCTCTCTCTCTCTCTCTCTCTCTCTCTCTCTCTCTCTGTGTTGCTCTTTCAAGTAAATGAAAGTACATAAACATTAAACATAAAAGACTGTTTCCCTAAGATTGGGGATGAATATGTTAACATGTTAATGATAACTCTGTGAAAGAGCACACTGAAGGTTTCAATGAACTGGGTACGGGATAGTGACATTCATAGGGCCTTAGTATCCTACTTAATTCAAAGGGAGGTGAGGACTTAACTACTGTCCACTGTATAGAAGAGCAAACTAAGCCAATGGCTCTTACAACCTAGGTTCATTTTGTCTGGAATGGCTATGACCTATACACCAGGTGAAAGGTGAATTCTACTTTTAACAAGATGGTCATTTCCAAGGCATAGACTGGCTATTCACAAAATACACAAAACCCTTTGCATACATTTTTATAATCTCCCTTAGGAACGGAAGAAGGCTAGCATGATCTATCAGATTCATCAGAGGGAGGTGTTCAAAGCACACAAAAACACTACCCCTGTAAGTCCTTGTTGGCACTAATGTGTGTGTACCATGCCCTTCAGCAGTGCTGGGGTGGGGAAAAGTTGAAGAAATACTGACCTAACTGCCATGGTTATCTCACACCAAGATGCTTTGAGAATCTGAACGATGTGGGAACATTGACTTCATTTTTGTCAAGGTGTGAATTGGGGCAAATTCCAAGACTGGTTTTGTGAGCAGAGCACAGTGGCCTTCCTCCAGACACCAGAACAGGAGGCTGTCATGTGTGGCATTACTGGGGAGAATTTGTGGGGCCTGGTGCTTTCCTGCATGGGGCCTTGAGAACTGCAAAACGAAACGTCAGGAGCCAACCATTGCTCAACTCTTTTGTGCTTCATTAGCTGGAGCAGCGGACCTGATTGTTGAGGTTTAGAGTAGTACTGCTTCTCATCTGACAACACACAGATACAAATCGTTGTGTTTGCAAGAAGCACAGATCTATTTGAAGGTAATGAGATGCTTTAGGGCACTGGCGATGGCACTTTGATGATGCTACTTTTGTTTATTTATGTGATAAGCATATGGGCAATTATTTGCTCCTAACAGAGCTGAAGAAAGAAGAGTGAGTACTGTGATAAGAAAAGCAAAATTGCTCAGCAAATCTTGACAACAAATGTGCTTTAATTTTCAAATGTTATTTTTTAAAGATTTATTTATTTATTTGAAAGGCAGAGAGTTATAGAGAGGCAGAGGCAGAGAGAGAGAGGTAGGTCTTCCATCCGCTGGTTCACTCCCCAGATGGCTGCAACAGCCAAAGCTGTGCCGATCTGAAGCTAGGAGCCAGGAGCTTCTTCCGGGTCTCCCACACGGGTGCAGGGCACACTTGGGCCATCTTCTACTGCTCTCTGAGGCCATAGCAGAAAGCTGGATCAGAAGAGGAGCAGCCAGGACTTGAACCAGTGCCCACAGTGCCAGCCCCCCAAATGTTATTTTAATTTGACTTTTTGAGCCACCTGAAATAGCTGTCCATAATAATTTAAATTATATTAAAGAGAACTATTTGTGAATTAACAGTATACTTTAAAAAGCTACCCCAAGGGCTGGAGCTGTGGCATGCTGGTTAAAGCTGCCACCAGCTGTGCTGGAATTCCACATGGGCTCCTGTTTGAGTCCTGGCTGCTCCACTTCAATCCAGTTCCCTGCTAATGCGCCTGGGAGAGCAGCAGAAGATGGTTAAAGTCCTTGGGCCCCTGCTACCCACATGGGAGACCCAAAAGCAGCCCCTGGATCCTGGCTTCAGCTTGGCCCAGCCCTGGCCATTGTGGCCATCGAGGGAGTGAAACCGGCAGATGGAAGATCTTGCTCTCTTTCTGTCTCTCCTCCCTGTAACTCTGACTTTCAAATAAATAAATAAATAAATACATATTAAAAAAAAGTTACTCCTGGGGATGGCACTGTGGCGTAGCAGGTAAAGCCGCCGCCTGCAGTGCCGGCATCCCATATGGGTGACGGTTCGAGTCCTGGCTGCTCCACTTCCGATCCAGCTCTCTGGTATGGCCTGAGAAAGCAGTAGAAGATGGCCCAAGTTCTTGGGCCCCTGCACCCACATGGGAGATCTGGAAGTTCCAGGCTCCTGGCTTTGGATTGGTGCAGCTCCAGCCATTGTGGCCAATTGTGGAATGAACCAGTGGATGGAAGACCCCTCCTCCCCTGTAACTCTGACTTTCAAATAAATAAATAAATCTTTTAAAAAATTTACTCCTAGAGAAATAATTCTTGGAAAATTGCAAAAAGTATATTTAGGTAGAGTTTAGTTCCTCACTCACAAATGCTTAGCTCTAAGAATTCTTTGCTCTAAACCTGGTTGAACTTCTAGGGGGAAAATATTTCTAACTCATTCTGAATCCTACGTTTGGAGTCAAGCTGATGAGATGTAAAAAGTCCTCAAGCAGGCATCAGGGCACTCCTAGGCATTCTAGGCCAGCTGTCTGGAGATTATGAAATCTGCAGTTACCAGGAACAAGTTGCAAATCAGAAAGTAAGTAGTTTCAGGCACCACTGGGAGGTGTCAGTGAGCATTCATGATGAGGAAGACACGAGAGGCCAGGCAGAAAAATGAATACTGAAAGAAAGCATATTGGGTCAAGAATTGGTGCTGGGTGCTAAGGGTTGCATGAAGGTGGGTATTAGTTATCCAGATGTTTAGACACATGGAAAGTAAAGGAGCATTTACTAAGATCCTGCTGTTTTTCAGGCACAGAAGGTTAAATGCTTTAATTACTTCATTCACTCTGAATTCTACTGGTTAGGAATCATTTTACAGTTTGAAAAGAAGCTGATAAACATCAAACAACTTGCCCAGGAGCACAGAGAGAATCTAAATTTACCCTCATTCTCTGGCCTTCAAAACCAGACTCCTTCCACCATACTACAGGGACAAGGGTTAGGCTGATAGAATTCTGGAAACACATCCAAGCACTGATATAGAATACGCAAACCTTGCTATGTTGTACTCAAAACTCATTAGATGTGGATTAAGAATGTGCGTGTGATGGAACAGTTGCTTTTATGATTCTCTGTGAGAATGAAGGAGACCTCAGCTCGCTGCGCATGCAGAAACCTGGAAGAGAGCCACAGTCCACCTGACATGAAAGAGACTGAGATCAAATGAGGGAACTATGGGAAAAGTTGTCTGGGCATTGGGTAAAGGTAGGGGTCTGGGGTTCGAGAGGTCTTGGTGATTCTAATCAACTCTACAAAGTTTTGTGACTACAGCGTCTGTTAGGAGCCCCCACTACTGCCCCTTCCATGGCTCCTGTTCTCAATCAGCCTCCAGTCTCTTTTTAGGCCTGGAGTTTTCAGCAGCTTCTCACTCTTGCTGGGGGCCAGCACCTCGGCATTCCTCCTTGATTCCCTTAACCCTTGTGCCTTTGTTTAAAAGCCTCTTCAAAACCCCAGCTGCCAATGGAGCCTGATTCCTACAGGATCTGCTTGTTAGACGAGAGGGCAGAAGTTGGTGCTGGCCAGCAGCCCAGTCACTGCAGTTAGCAGACCCTATTCAGTAGCAGGTGGAGTCCAAAGTACAGATGATCTGCTAACGGACAGAGCACCTGCTCAGGGGGCAGCGAGGTCCCAGCTTTTCAACACAAGTCCATGTCTTCAGGATGGAGCTTATTTCTATGTCTCTTGACTCTTCTGACTGGTGTGTGTGTGTGTGTGTGAGAGAGAGAGAGAGAGAGAGAGGGAGAGAGAGAGGGAGAGAGGGAGGGAGAAAGGGAGGGAGAGAGGGGGGCAAGGCTGCTCTGAACAGAAGCTTCAGAGCTGAGATTTTGGACCAACACAATTCTATGCTCACTAAACCAGAAGTTCAGATCTATGGAGAGACTCTGTGTGTGTGTGTGTGTGTGTGTGTGTGTGTATACTTTCCTTAGGAGAGGGAGTGTCTCTGATCCTTCCCCTCAAAGGTAAATAATAGGAGCCAAAGCTTACCGGTGCTGGCTCTGTGTTAGGTTCTGAGCGCTTTATTTGCCTCAACTCTCAATCCTGGCAAGAACCACATTAAGCGGCATGTAAGCTATGCCAAATTTCCGGATGAGGGCAGTCTGGCACAGAACCCACGGCGCCTGAGGTCTTTTGATTAGGCGCCCTCTGAGTGGGGATGAAGAGTCTGGTTCTGGAGTCTGCTGCTACCCCTCCACTCCCACCCCCTCACCACTCAATGCCGTCGCCATGTCTGACTCTGGACCTAAGAGAACTGTGTGTGTGTGTCTGTGTGCGCGCGAGATCTGCACGTGCTCAGAACCTAGCGCCATGCCTGGCACGCAGTCGAAGGTGCGGAGTTATTTGTTGACTCAGCGACGAAATTTTGCCAGGCAGCGAGGACGGGGGCAAGTCCCAGCAACTGACAGCTCCGGGGGTATCAGACAGACTTTCCTCCGTGGAACTTCCTCTCCACAGCCCGCTCCCCAGCCAGTTCCAAGAGCTGGTTTGCCTCTGCAGGACGGGGAAAGGCATAGCAGGCAGCGCCCTGAACAAACCAGAAAAACTGCCTTGCGTCGCTCGGGAGCACGCGGCAGGGCACGGTCGCAGCCGCGGGAGCCTGCAGGGGCCAGGAGGGCCTCCCTCCCTGGGTGAGCGTTGCCGCTCACCTGCCTCGCCCCTCCCGCGGCCCGAGGTCTGCGGCACGCCCCGCCCTGTGGGTGGAGTGTGAGCGGGGTGGGGTTGGGGGGGGGCAACCTTGGACTTTGCGCCCTCAGGTGTGTAGGCGCTGGCCGCGGGCAGAGCCGCTCAGCCCTCCTCAGCCGGCCCATGGAAGCGGCCGTGTGCCCGTCGGCCCGAGACGAGCTGGAGCTCTCGGTGCTCGGGGGGCAGTCAGACGAGCAGACGCCTCTCAGTGGAGAGGTCACGGTCATCTCGGCATCGGTGGAGGAGGCCTGCCCGCCGCAGGTGAGGTGCCCGCGGCGCGCCGGTGGGACGGGCCCGGCAGCTGGGAGTTTCGGGGTTCCCGAGCGTTCTCCGGGCAGCTTCCGACGCCCGGGGCTCGAGCCCGCCCGCCCGCCCGCACCGGCCCCTGCGCCGCCCGCGACCCCGCCGCGCTCCGGGAACCCCAGTGCGGGGTGTGGCCGCGCCGCTCTGGAGAACCAGACTCCCCCGGGATAGAGCTGGGCTCTTTAATGAAGTTTATTTTCTCTTTCAAGTAGTGAGAACGAGGGTCATAGACGGAGTCAACTCCTTTCCTTAGGATCTCGCCCGCCTCCTTTCAACCCTCCAGACCTCTCCAACTCCGGCCCCCACCCCGCCTTCCGCTCCCTAGCCCCCATCCCCCACCCACCGTCCTCGCTCCTCGCCCCAGACACGAACACTTTCTGTCTTCTCCCGGCCTGGCCTTCGGATTCCGCCGAAAGACGGAGAGGGGAGAAAGCCGCAGGAGCCAGGGGCCTGGAGCTGGCCTGGGAGGGGGTGAGCTCGCTGTGTTCACATCAGAGGAAATATTTGCAAAGTTCTTGTCCCAAGGAACCAAGCCCCCTCTGCTGTCGCCTCCTTTGGATCCCTAAGGAAGTCCCTCGTGATGTTTCGACCGAGCAGTTTTCTGATTCAACTCCAGCGGTGGTGGCAACAGTATAGGCTCCCATCAAATGCTTGTAAAACATCAGAGACTTTGAATTCTGGGCCATCCTTGTGATTAACTCCCACCGCTGGCTTGGGGTTTACTGGGTACAAGGAACTGTATAAAGAGCCTGATGGCACCAGGCCCCACTCCTCCGTCCTGCCCCTTTTGGCCACTCAACTGTTGATTTTGGGGACAAACAGGAAATCCAGAGGTTCAGAATATGGCTCTGTATGCTTTCCTGAAAAGCTTGCTTTTACTGGTATCCTAGAGAGTACTTGGGCACTTTATGTTTGAATGAAATATAAACACCTGGGAAGAGTGAAGAGTGTACACCCATGGTCTGATCGCCAGGCCCAGTGTCTTCAGCCATACAGCATTAGGCAGAGGTTTGGGAATTGGAGATCCCTGTTTCACATTAGAGAGACCCAGGACACCTCAAGTCTCCATGTTTTGAAACTAAGTCCAGTGATGAGAGTTGTGGTGACAGCTTCACCACTGTAAGCTGTGGTCCAGGGCCAAGGCTGTCAAAAGTGGAAAGGGAAGGTGCCCAGCTGGGCATCTGTGAGACCTGGCGGTGCTTGGTGGAAAACAGTTGAATTGTAGAACGTGATACCCATGTAGGTGTCAGTGTTTTCCAATTGGTTAGCACCTGCCCCGTAGCGATTGCTCTTTCATGTTCTAAAGACTTCCTTGTTTGTTAGGTTATGCAGGTGTCCTGGATTTCCTTGTGAGGTAGCTTTGTAGGTCTCTCAGTATGAAAGCTCTGGTGAGCAACAGAAGGGAGTGAAGGCCAAGGGCTATGTGAGCACTCGAGGACATTCTAGAAATGCCTGAGCAGGAAAAATCTTTAAAGGTGACAACCCATCACCCAGTGTGGTAATTTTTTTGTTTTGTTTTGTTTTGAAGAGTGAGCTGACATGCATTTAAACTCAGGAAAGTCAATTAGTGTAGGGTCACTAAGCATACTGGCTTGCACAGGACAGAACTCAGACGCTTGAGAGTTTTCTGTTTGGAGCTGCTTAAACTGTGTACTGATTTCCATTTTCAAATGCAGCTTAATTCCCTATATTTCCATTGTGCACCTGTTGCGTACCTACATATGCCAAACACCTGTGATACATAAGTGCATTTATGAATGTTGTCAGTGTTGTGATTTGACAGGCGAGGAAACTGAAAATTGAGCCTCTCAATGCCCAAATATTCTCAGTGCTGCCTCTGAGGTTTGAACTCAGACATTCTGTCACCTACGCTGTTTCTGTTGGTTTAGTCTCGATCATTTAAATATATAATGTGACTTATAATTTGTACTCACTTATTGTAGTTGCCTAGATTAGATATTGCTAATTTCTTTAAGTTAGGTAATTTATAATTGTAATTTAAGTGAAATAGGAGTATGGAAAGAGTTGGTGCTGGATGAGTGGATGGGTGGATGTTGAGGGGTAGGGAACGGTTCTGGGGTCACAGGAAATAGACATCCCACCCTGTGATGTCCTCCTGGTTGGCACAGCTGAGCTGCAAGAGTATGCAAAGACAGTGGAAAGAACTTCTTTTCCTCTCTTGATCTAGGTTTGAGGGTTGGGGGAAAGGGATACAAGCCATAGAACTCTGCCTGCTGCCACTCTGAACACAAGGTCAAAAGTGGAAAAGAAATTATGGTAATGAGGTGGGACTAGTTTCCTTCTATGGCTCATACGTGGGCTCTGACTCAGGTTTCAAATAGAAATCTCAGAGACATTTTAAGCGATGGCAGCATCATTAGAATAATATTAAACCAGTAAATTGGTGCTTTTGAGGTAGGCAAGGCTTATGGGAATGGGCTACCTAAAAATTAGCTCCATTGCTACATATTGTTCGGTTCAGGATAAAAATCAACTGGCTCTTTTGTGCTTGGATCAAACAGCAAGTGCATTAAATCCCACACTGAAGATTTGGAAGTATAGATTTTCCTGTATGCTAAGCAAATTTTCCCTGATTACCTAACACCTGCTCCTGAATGAGTTAACAAGAAGCAAGCTTCTTGGATCCGATAGACAGGTAGTCCTGCCGTTGTCGCAGGATCCTGGGTCATGTATTTACACATTTACCTGAAGAGGCGAAATATCTGGGGGAGTGGAGTGTTCAGAGGAAATCCATGAGGATTCTTGAGCTCCGTCATGCAAGCACAGAATGAAAAGGGCGGCTTACAAATATCTCTGGAAAGCACCTTGTGAAAGAAACTGCCTGTGGGCACTCCTCATGACCCAGAATTTGGGCAGGAGAGAATGAAGCAGCCGCTGAAGGAGGCACTGTGTCTTTGTGACCCAGTTTTACGGGCGATTGAGATAGCACAGACGGCATGCGCTGTGTCAGAGCTTCTGCAGCCTCAGGGGACATGGGAATCGTCTTGGACCCCTCTGAAAAGCACTACCCCCCATTTGCCTCTAATGTGCAGGCAACTGAGAAGCACTGTGTGTTGTTGCTCTGTTGGGAGTGGGACAGACCACTCTATACTGACTGAATATATTGAAAAAAAATCCCTTAATCATGTAAGGGATGGTGGTCAGTGGTCTTGTTCTTGGGCTGAGGACAGCACAGAGAGGCATGCTGGGTTATAGATGGGCAGCCTTGGGCTGGACCAGGAAGTGGCATTTCCCATATGTAAGGCTGTGTCAGTTGGAGCTGAATTCCTCCAGGAAGTCACAAGACTAATTAATGATTCTTCAAACCACAGGAGTCCTAATTTGTGATCCCTAAGGGACAGCAGCAGGCCTAAGTGGCTGAAGAAGTGCACTGATGCTCATCCTGTGGCTTATTTGAGACTCTGTATTTCCTTTGGTGTTAAGTTTTATGGTCTTGGCTGCCACTTATATAAGGGGCTGAAAACAGCACAGGCTTATTTTGGTTGCAGTGGTTCTTGAAGTGGGGACATATGTGTCTGTCCCCCAGAGTTCCTTGTACTGGATCTTCTCTTTCCCATGTCCTTTTTGGAGCCCCTGGCTTCCGTGGCATTGGAGCAGTTCTGCAGCCTTGAGCAGGAGTGAGAGGTGGCCTTACCCCTGGACTCCAGAAACCACTGAAGACTAATTTCCTCTCTCTGGGTGCTCCCATCACACATGACAGGCTGGGTCCAAGAGTCCTTGTAAGGTGCACTCAGGGCCTCTAACTTGGGAGGCCCAAATGTGTGGTGTAAAATGGGGAAGTTGAAGAACCCTCCCTCTATGTGGTTTCAGTTTACCTATGAAGATAAAGCCGTTCTCTGTTTGCATTTGGAATGAAACCACACAGGGCAGTCAGTCCCAGCAGCAGATGAACCGTGGGGACAGCTCATGTACTGGGTGAGGAAGAAGAGGGGTTTCCACAAAAGGGTGGGAGGGTTCACACCAGAGGTCGCAACCCTAGTAAAACAGCTGATTCACTCTGAGATGTTTAAAATGACAAGCCAGGGCCTGCTGCCATCTCCCCTAAGACTTCCCTAAGACAGGTGCAGGTGGGCCTGAAGTCAGTGAAAACCTCTTCCACGGTGATACTGAAGTGCAGCCAGTCTTGGGGCCTCTGAGAAAGTGTGAAATGCATTCTCAATGCAGACGACCCATTTCCTTTCCTGCTGGCCACCACCAAAAAAGAACCAGGTAGAAATGAAGCACTGTTTCCATTCAGGAGCCGGCCTCTGCAAGTGCTTTGTGGAACGAAGTGTTACCTGTGCATCAGGTGTCTGAGGGGTGACTGTTCTCCTTGGTGGAGTGCCTAATATTTGTCTCACAGATGCTTCATGTACCGTATTCTATGGTTTTTACAGCAACCCTAGATTTAGTATTTATATACAGAAGTTTTCCAACATGGCGGTTTGGCTTACCCTTCTTCAACTTTACGATGATGGTGTGAAAGTAACAAAGGTTCAGAATATATGCTTTTAAGTTTTTCTTTGTTTATTTCAAAAATTTTTAATGGACACATGATAGTATACATATTTATGTGGTACCATGTGATGTTTTTGACACAAATATAAGTACAGGGCAAATATATGTACTTCCTCAAACATTTGTCCTTCCTTTTTGGTGGAAACATTTGGAATCCTTTCTTTTAGCATACACACACACACATACTCACACACACACACACTTGGGGGAAGCACATTATTGTTATCTGTAGCCACCCCACTGTGCAATAGAACGTTAGCACTTCTTTCCCCTATCACTTGCATTTTGCCCTGTATCCAATATCCTCTTGTGATGCTGATAGTGGCAGCAGTTCACATCTACCAGTCAACCACATACTGTGACTAGGGGAGAGAACCAGTAGTCTACAGTGTATTGTGTGGCTAACCTGAGATGTTCAGTAGGTTAGGTAGATTAAATGCATTGTTGACTTACGCGATTTTCAGTTTATGATGGGTCTATTAAGATGTAATTCCACCACAATTGGAGGGGCACCTGTGGTTTACAATTCAGGACATTGGGGCCTGCAAGCTTCAGTAGCTTGCTTAAAGCTATCTGCCTTCAAGATTCAAATCCAACCAGGTATGTCAGATAGAGAACTACATTTCTGCTCTTATTGTCTTCCCTCATATCCCATGGTCTATTCAGGTATGGTGCACCAGGTGGGGCTCAGATAGTGGGACTCCTCCAAGGCAGCCAGGCAATCTCATGAAAGTCCTCACAGCGAGGCCAGGAGGCTGTGCACAAAAGGGAGAAGCTCTAGTGACACACAGCAGGGATTAGTCCGGGAATATTTGAAATGGGCTAATGCATACCTTGAAGGCCAGTTAGGATTAAGTGGAGTGTCTTTGGTGCTCTGTTAACCACAGCAGTTCTGATTGCTTATTTTGACCACACAGTCTGCCTCACTACACCTGCTGCAGCTCTCTCCTACTGTCTTGTGCCTTTAACATAGAATGTGAGGCCACAGCACTAGCCTGTTCATTCTTTTCTTGGTTTGTCCATTCTAAACTACCCATACTTTTTTTTTTTTTTTAAGATTTGTTTTATTTATTTGAGAGGCAGAGTTACAGACAGAGAGAGGGAAAGACAGAGAGGTCTTCCATCTGCTGGTTTGCTCCCCAAATGGCTGTAATGCCCAGAACTGGGCCGATATGAAGCCAGGAGCCAGGAACTTCTTCTGGGTCTCCCACAAGGGTGCAAGGGCTCATCCTCCACTGCCTTCCCAGGCCATTAAAAGGGAGCTGGATTGGAAGTGGAGCAGCGGGGACTCAAACTGGCACCCATATGGGATGCTGGTGCTGTAGGCGGAGGCTTATCCTACTATGCCATGGCACCGGCCCCCACTACACATCATTTTACCCTTAATTTTTAATTCAGCTCTTGTGTCCCCAAACCTTCCACAGGACACTGGTGCACACCACAAGATGGTCCAACTGCGCTGGCAGTGATCAAACCCTCTCCAGTATGTTGCAACCTTTCACTCTATGTAGCTTTCAATTTCACTACTTGCCACTGACACCCACCCTGAACTCGTCTGCTGGCCAGTTCTGCTGAGTCAACACCCTGGATGGTCTTTCAGTCTTTCTTGGGCTTGGAATGCTTTCAAAAACCCATTCTGCAAAAATCCTCTCTAACCTTTCCACCCCAGAGTGCCAGAGGCTCTGTTCCACCCCATGCAGCTTTGTGTAAACTTGATTGAGCAGCGTGCAGCCCTTGAGGTCTGGAACCTGCTGTCTTCATGTCCGTATCATTCGCCCCTAAACCCAATGATTGCCTCGCATTCTTCCTTTGCTTTTTAGGGCAAGAAGGAAAATCCCTGGAGCTCCTGCAATAAGAACGTGGTGGGAAGGTGTAAACTGTGGATGGCCATCGCCTCCGTTTTCCTGGGTCTCATTGTAGTGATCATCATAAGCTTGTGTCTTGTTGGAGGTAAGAGGATGGAAGTGTGACTGAGGTGATTTTAAGAACTTGTTTAAGGCTTGTGGCTTACATGGAAATGGAAGATGTGCTCGTGGCTGCTCATTAGTTATGCTGCAGATTTAAATCTGGCTTGGAATATGTTGTATGAGTGGGAGATATGCATAATTCTTGTTTGTTTTATTTATGACATTTTGTTTGTTGTTTGTTAATTTTATAGACCCCAAAAGTATGGAGATCAATGTTTTACTTTAAACTCAGCTCATTGGATCTTAAAGATGTGTCTTAAATTTTTCACTTAAGCACTATATTTTATTACATCTTAGTATACCTGCTTATTTGAAGGTTTTTTTTCTGTGTAATTTGGCAAAAATAATTATTGTATACCATCTAATGTTACTGTAATAATAAAATAATGAGTAATGTATTTGAAGAGTTTTAGAAAAAACTTTACCTATAAGCTGTCATTATTTTAACTTATTTTAAAAGTAACTGTTATGTTTGTGTGTAAAACAGAAGGTTATCTGGTAGTAACTATATACTTTACATGTATGATGTCCTTTTATAATTTGTTTTGAATTTAAAGACAATACATGTTCAGTCACCAATAAACTCATCTATGTTATTAGTATTTCTTTTTTTAAAAGATTTATTTTATTTATTTGAAAGAGTTATAGAGGGAGGTAGAGACAGAGAGAGAGGTCTTCCATCTGATGGTTCATTCCCCAGATGGCCGCAATGGCCGGAGCTGCGTAGATCTGAAGTCAGGAGCCAGGAACTTCTTCTGGGTCTCCCACGTGGGTGCAGGGGCCAAAGGACTTGGACCATTTTGTACTGCTTTCGAGACCATAGCAGAGAGCTGTATTGGAAGAAGAGCAGCCAGGACTAAAACTGGCACCCATATGGGATGCCAGTGCCTCAGGCCAGGGTTTTTTAATTTTTTTTAAAAAATTTTTTATTTGACAGATAGAGTTATAGACAGTGAGAGAGAGAGACAGAGAGAAAGGTCCTCCCTCCACTGGTTCACTTCCCAATTGGCCGCCACGGCCGGTGCGTTGCGCCGATCCGAAGCCAGGAGTCAGATGCCTCCTCCCCATCCCCCATGTGGGTGCAGAGGCCCAAGCACTCGGGCCATCCTCCACTGTCAGGACAGGGTTTTAACCTGCTGCGCCACAGTGCCAGCTTCTAATATTTCAATAGATTTTATTTTGGTCTTTTCTTAGCTTTAGAAATAATTTGAAGTCAGATTTTTCTTTAGTCATGTGGCCTATCTTTGGGATGTTAATATTACACTGCAATCTTTCTGCCAGGTGGTGAGAAATTCTTCAGGTCATTTTTTTATGGTGGCAGGATGGAATCTTCCATGTGATTTTAAACCCTTTTAGGTAGTTTCCAGTTTTTATAATTACTGGTGGTACTTTTTTTACAGTGTACTCATAGCAATAGAGCACCCTCCAGTGGGCAGTCGTTTCAGTCTCAAAAAGGGAAGAAGAAAGTCACTTTTTGTGTGTGGGGTGATGGTAAGGAGGCGCTCATTGGGCCTGGGATTCTCCTGAGGTGATGGGCCTCAAAAAATCCTCTTGAGGATTTGGGTTTAGTTGGACTCTCAGTAGCAAACCCAGGTCTAGGCTGGTAGCAAGAATGGGGAGCCCCTGAGTCTCTCCAGAGGGGTGCTGTGGAATTCTCCTTAGGAACTACGTTTGCCATTCACTTTCTGTTTCCCTTTCTCTCAACCCCTTAACCTCCTGTCTCAATGTTTCCTAGTCCCTGAAAGAACAGGAAAACCGTGAGGATATTGTCAGTCTACAGCATGGAAGTTTCTTGGCCAGGGACTCTGTCCCCTAAGGCAGCAGGGGCATTGTTTAGGTGAGGAGGGTGATTCTGAAGGTTTTGGGTAGGAAGAAGCTAAAAGATCCCGTATCTCTTCCATCTTGCTGAGGACAACAGTTTTGGTGTGAGCCTTGATACTTCCTCTTCACGTTAAATCCACATGGTGGATATTGAAACTGAATTGGGTCACGCAATCCTGTCCTATTGCAACCAGTTGGTTCTACTGCAAAATCACAGCTGATTTGCCTGTGGGGAATCTGTGGTTCTCTCAAAGGATGACGCAACAGGTGGCTTAGTATTCAGGATTCTGAAACACAAGACCCATGATTTGTCTTCCATTCTCACAGAGTCATCTAATCCCTTCAACTCACAAAGAGCAAACTGAAGAGGAAGGCATTCCCTTTCCCTTAACAGTTTTTCTAGGGATGTGAAAGATCACAGGATAAGATGCAGGGAAAAATTTTTTGAACTTGTACAAACTTCACTTTGAATTTTTTTTTTGATGATTTATTTGAAAGGCAGAGTTAGTCAATCTTACCAAGGAGGCAGGCACCAATGCCAGCACACTTGGTAAAGAGACAAATATAAATACACAACTGATCCAAGAGATAGGGTAAGTGTCGAAGAGAGTACACAAATAAGACCAGTGTAAGCAAATAATGAAAGATAGAATCAAAAGGGTTGAGAATGATCCTGCGGGGGAAGCAGGTCACACAGCAGACTCATAGAATGGCAAATGCCCAAAACAGCACTCCTGCCTCAGAATCAACCCTTGGGACATTCGGATCTGACTAAAAGGTCCATGAGAGTCTCACAGGCATGGAAAGCCATGACACGGTGGCAAAAAAACAATCTAAATGAAGGATCCTGGCGAACAACACTCCAGCAGAAGGATCAGGCCATCAAGGAGAGAGGCGCCTTTCTCTGAAGAGAGGAAGGAACCTCCACTGTGATATGGCCTTGACTAAACAAATACAGAGTTGGTGAACTCAAGGGGCCTCCATAGCCTAGACAGCTCATAGCAAGAGTCTCGGGTGATTGCTGACGTCATAAATAAGAGTGCCAATTGTTAAATCAACAACGGAGTCACTGGGTTCATGCTCCCCTCGCAGGATCTCTGTCCTTAATATGTTTATCTATGAAACTCAAAAACAACACTACTAGTCGAACAA